ACTGAAATAGTGGGTGACATGTCTAGGACAGGGACATTCATCATGGACTTTGAGTAGGCTGGGATCGCCGCAGTCCGAAACACCGATCGACAAGTTAACATAGTCCTATGCGGCTTCCACATTTGCCGTGGTTTCAATAAAAAAGTAGGTGAATGCAGGTCAATAAAATTGTACTCAGTGAAGCCAGCAATAATATTTTAAGGGCCCATCTTTGTCTCTTAGTGAAGGCGGAGACTATTGGATGGTAATGCCTACAATGCAGTTATTCTTTTGATTTAATCAATACTTTGGAATCATCACTCAAATAAGTCGTGGATTGGGGCGGTATCTGAGTTAGCCGTAGCTCAACAGACAGGTTATGTGGGCCACAGTTTGCAATGGCCACATACTAACACTGGGTAATATTGAGAATATCCGTATTGAGTCACTGGACCATCAATCGAAGAGATATTATAATGAAGAAGAACTCAGGTGGGGACAATCGATATATCATAGCCCATATGAACCATACACTAAATACTTCATTTGCAAATTTCCATCATTTGTCCTTCACATATTATACGATTCTTCCTTTTCACAACCCCTTTCGATTTTCCTTTCTAATTTCTCCAACTCGGTTATCTAAGCCTTCTGCTGTCAGGTTTTCTGCTTCCTACTGGCTTTACATACTAATTATGTCGACAGACATAAGTAGCATACACCACGGTATTTGAAGAAGAGCGATCCCTTGCACAAATCTATTTTGAATGTGTAAAAATGGATCGCTAGAACATTAGCAAGAAAAATCTCAGAGGATCGCATATCTGAAACCAGACGCTATAAATATAAGTCACTTAATCTAACTATCACTGTTTGGATAAATAACTCCATTTATCGCGCGAAAAGTAATGCTGGAATTTAAGAGGATGAATCATGTGTAAGCAGCATATGAAGCTGACAACTTGATGTTCATAGCGGATTGAGGATCGGCCTATTGGATGTATTTAAGCACCTATCATCGCGACTGTCGAGTGTTTTCAACATGCAAGTATCCATGTCGAAACATGCTTCTATCGCACTTGAAGGGGCGAACATTGAAAGGTGTTTCCCAATTACGAAGTACCAATGTTTTAGTTAACTAAGTCCTCAGACACTGTTCACAAAATTTAGTTATTATCTATCCGCTATCACTACATTAACGACATCCATCCCCCAGACGAAGCAGAGAATATGTGAAAGAGTTTCAAAAACAGTGACGATATCAACAGCAAATCGCTGACAGATTTGCTGATGCTTGTGCACTGGCTGTTGAAAGGGAAGAACCAGTTATTATTAACGAGTCCTAAATAACTATGTAAGAAATTCACTTTACTAATTCATGAACAAGAGTTTATCACTTCCTCGTCCTATGTATACTTTCGTGATCACATACTCAGCACTGAAAATTGTCCTAAGTACTTTCCCTAGCCAACCGTTAATCTTATTTGATGTTACATCTTGTAATTACATTTATAAGTTTCTTTTTCCTGTTGTTCTTACTAAGCTATTATAATTAGTGATTTAATTGTTACTTGTAAACAATATTTGCTTTAAATATCATAGTAACTGTATCAATACGGAACAGTAGACCGGTTCTGCTCGCTGTACTTAGTTACAGGGGTCCCGTTTAAAGTAGATCATCAAGCGGAGTGTGATAGTTGATGGATACTATGGCAACAACTGTAAGTGTATCCAAGCGCTCCATCGATCTCATGATGTTTGTACAAACAATAGACTGATAGAAGTGCACATACTTGTATCTAAATATGGGTATAAAGAAACGTATATGGGATAAATATTATATATAATTGTCCTCCATTCGTATATTACTCTTCAATATATCCTCCTATTTACAACGCTTATCGTCTATGTTTATTGGTCAACACTTGATTACTAGTAGGATCTCGGTTAAACCTGAAGTTGATATAGGTTATCAGTTTTAAATCATGAGTTTTGCAAAGATGGTCTATCTCAAATTTTCTTTTCCTTGCGTCGATAGGTGGACATGCATTCACATATTTGGAGCGATGAGTTCCACTCATTGGTGATTCGATGAGAAAATCGATAGACAACTGATACATGAACTTCAAGTAGTTCTCGTAGATTTCTCGTTTTTGATAGGTAAGGTAAAGAAAGGCATTTCAAAAATAAAATTGTGATTCAGTAATTTACAAAAACTGTGATTAAGTCACTTATAGTCCTTTTTGTATGGCAAAAAAAATCGATTTAGTTATGCCAGTCTCTCGGCCGCTTTATGATTACGGGAATCCATTTATTTGTAGTTCTTTGGACTTTTTCTAACAGGAAATTCCAATTTCGGACGAACAAATGGCATATAAATAATTAACAATGTTTTAGGATCTACATGATTAAACGCTCTACAACTAAAAAAATAAATGGAGTTCTGTGAAGAAGAGTTTGTTGTTTCTTCGTCTCCATACCAACCACTCTCTGTTCTCGTTCTCATTCTTTTCTCTTCGATTTTATCAACCTTCTGCCTACATGCATTTAACTTTCGATTAGTGATACATACTACTTATATCTGCAGCACACACTACACAATGACTTCTTGAGGTCTATTCCACATAAACAATATTGATTACTAAAGATGGATAGTGCCTAGCAGCGGAATCCAGTTTGACGCACGTTTCATCCTATTTGGGACTTGTCAGCTGGATGTACCTGCATCTCATAGTTGATGTTCACTCTGGGTTCCACTGGATTCCACTGCTAGCCACTATCCATCTTTGCTTACCATGCTTGTGAATTAAGGCAATATGCACAGTATTCACATATTTCAATAAGAGACTGACCAGTTGCAGTCCTAAACATCAATGGGAAGATTCAAACAAACAATACTAAGTGAATATTGATTAGTGTACAAATTTCTGGACAGTTACATTGTGCCCATAATTATGTAAAATTAATACATTTCTACAAATGAGTAATCAGTAAATCATGTAAAGAAAAGAAGTTATGGAAAGACAACGTAAAAGAAAAAAAACGTTGAACGAGAGGAGAAGAAATGACGAGAAGAATTGTTATTCGAATGTTACGTTAAAATTTTACAGCAAAGGGGTTCTTTTTCTTCATTTTATTACTTTATTGACATCGTTCTTTGACAAAATCGTATGAAAAACTTTAATGATGTAATTATATATTCTTTGGTAACAATTAGGTGATGGAAGAGTAAAGTGATATACTAATTAATCACTAGGGTATTCATAACCTAGATGAACTGCCTTGATTGTGTATTTTCTTTGCAAGTTAACAGGAAATATGCTCAACACTAAGAGTTACAAAATGTTCGACAGATTACAGTAAATGTTGATAGGAAGCCAAAAAAATATAAAACAAAATAAAGTGATCATCCTCAACAGGAACTCTCTTAAGTCAGAGCAGAAAAAATCAAGTTGCTATATTTATATCTAATTCAATGGGAATAAGAAGTAGTTATTCTTGAGATGAACTACTATTATATTTAATTCATATTTCTTCTATTTGGCAGATCATCACCACATACGTTCAAACTCCCGGAAATCTTGCAACGTATTGGTACCTCCAACTTATTGATAAAAGCTATGATAATGAAAGGTTCTAGCACGTAATACAATGGACATCTCAGAATCAATTAGACGATTTGGACTTCGCAGATGACCTAGTCTTCCTATCTCATACACACAAAAAATGTAGATGAAGACAAATAGTGAAGCAGCAGCCTCTGTATCGATAGGCTTCAACATACACGAAGGAAAAAGCAAGATCCTCAAATACAACACGGAGAACGCTAACCTAATCACATCTGATGGAGAAGCTCTGGAAAATGTGGAAACATTCACGTAACTGGGAAGCATCATTGATGAACAAGGAGGATCTAATGCAGACGTAAATGCGAAGATTGGCAAAGCATGGACCACATTCTTACAATTGAAGAACATATGGAACTCAAGACAAGTCTCTACTAATTTCAAATTGCGGATCTTCAATAGGAACATCAAGATAGTCCTGCTGTATGGAGCTGAAACGTGGAAAACTACTGCAACCATCGTCAAGTAGGTACAAGCTTCGAGATGAAGAGGAAATTAGGAAAAGACGTTGGAAGTGAATAGAACATACATTGAAGAAATCAACAAACTGCATCACTAGGCAATCCCTAACTTAGAGTCCTTAAGGGAAGCGGAAAATAGGAAGGCCAAAGAACACATTACACCGGGAAATAAAAGCAGATATGAAAAGGATGAATTTTAACTGGAAAGAACTGGAAAAGATTGCCCAGGACAAATTTGGATGGAGAATGCTGGTCGGCGGCCTATGCTCCTCCAGGAGGGTTAACTGGCGTACTAAACAAGGTAATTATTGTTTTTACATATAGGCTATAGAAGATAGGTAGATAGGAATATTTTAAATCAAAATACAAGATAATTTCAACTTTATTTGTTGTGTATTCACTTACAGTATGAAAGTAAAACAAGTCATTGTTGTTAAGAGCATCTCAATAAACAAAAATTACCTATTTTATACTACTTATATACGGTTAATCAACCTCGATGAATAATAAATATATCTAGGTAAACATCTTAGTCGAATAGAAGATGTTTTTTTAGAAAGTCTTATTCTAATGTAATACTACGGATCATTTATTTTTATTATAAGGGAGGCTTAATTATCATCTTAGCCCATAGATAATACACTATACTTGACTAATATTCACACTGTTGGTATTGAATCAATATACACAATACAAATAGTGAGGTATTTACAATGAAACGCTTCTGGCAAGTAACTAAAAGGAAACACAGCTCATATCCATATTTTGTATAGTTGTTGTGCATACATCCTGATGAATACATCTAACCTAACTAATTTCTTACTGTTAGTTTCAATCAGTTACAAGGCTGATAGGAAAATAAGTGGGCGGTTAATTATAACAAAAAATAAACCCTTATATTACCATACATAACCTGCCTTTCGTCCTGCTTTTCACTGAATTCATATATTACCATAGGTTAAATACTTATTATTTTGTTTAAATATATATATGAACCTTATCTAAAATATGAACTAGCTATATATTTCCCTATTAAACATTATTGATTTATTATAAGGTGCATCTCATTTATGATTGGTTGATTGAAATCAATAATAATTTGTGCTGATATTTTAACCAATAGGATGTGAGCTACAATTCCCAAATATACATATATATATAATATAATACAGTTGCCCAAATTATACGCTGACATAATATTGTCGTTTCATCACATTTATTCGTACTTTATTCATAATAATAAACTACCGCTTTATATTTTCGTTATATCTATCCATTCAAAAGGAAATTTATATATAATTAATTGAATATATACAAGTAAGTCTTATTTGAATTCATTCAAATCATTCTAAGCATAAAATACTACTTATAAAGATATAAAAAGTAATATATATTTTCAGAAGGGGTTTTGTAGATATTATAATTATTTTAATAGTTGAAATCATGAATTGATTGAAGCCAGATCACCATGGGGAACTGCCTCAGTGACCTAGAGGTAAAGCTATCGCACGTGAGATCAATAGGTCCTAGGGTTCAAATCTCATGAGGCAGAATCGTGGATGTGTACTATTGAGGAGTCCCACAATATTACGAAACGGCCATCCAATAATTCCAGGTTTTCCTATTATGGTCTAGCTTCAATTCATTCATGATCTCAACTATTAAAATTAATATTTATTTATTTGATTATTTTTATTTATTTTTTATTATTTTATTTAATATAGATATATACAAAGATTAAATTATGGATCCATCTGATCCAGATTTTAAATATTTGGGTGTAGATCGAAAAGCTTTATTAAAAGAATTAGCTAATTTTGATAGTAAAAATGTTATATGGGTTGAAGATGAAAAAGAAGGTTATGTATTAGCTGATATCAAAGATACTACTGGTGATACAATTACAGTAGCACTTAAAGATGGAAGTGTAAGTGTTAAAAATGCTTTTTTTTTTAATTATTTTATTAATGTGAAGTACTTTTGTTTTTATTTTTCTTTGAAGTATGAGTATATAGTGAGGTTAATTAGGTTAGGTAGACACATGAAGTATCTTACTTGTATTTATTACATGACCAGTAGATTGTTTTTATTTTGTACTAGTATGGTAATAATGTGGTATTTAGATCAGTTGCTTTCTTATATGGGTTCTTTATTGTCATCTATAGTTATAGTACATTACTACTTATAATTGAATAGTAGTAAATATTATTATTAGCCAAAAGTGAAAAAGTGAGTAATTTATATGTGAACAACTAGAGTTTAAGCAAATTTTTTTTTATTGGTTTAACATACTTAACTTTATATAGAAACAGATTATGGTTACTTATTATCGATTAGTTGATCACATACTCCAGTTGAACATTAGTTAATAATACACTGATAATTGAATTGTCATTAGCCAATACAATGGTTACAAGGTAGTGAGTTCGAGTTTCAGAGTGAACATCAACTCTGAGTTGCAGGTACATCCAGCTGACGAGTCTTAAAATATAACGAAATGAGCGTCAAACTGAATATCATTTCTAGCCACTATCCATCTTTGCTTATAATGCTTGTGAATTAAGGCAATATCGAGGCAATACACATATATGCATATATACCAATAAAAGACTGATCAATTGCAGTCCTAAGCATCAATGAGAAGATTCAAACAAACAATACTATGTGAATGGTTACAATGGTTATTAAATTATTTCATTACTACTTATTTATTTTAATAGGAAAAGAAAGTTAAAAAAGATGATGCACAACAAGTGAATCCACCGAAATTTTTCTTAATTGAAGATATGGCTAATTTGACACATTTAAATGATGCTTCCGTATTGGAGAATTTACGTGCACGTTATTATAGGCAATTGATTTATGTAAGTTTATCCTTTTTTTAAAGTAAAATTTTGTTTCGTCGGATTGTTCTTGGTTACTAACTTTTGTACTTTATAAAGATTCACTGAAGAATATTCTGTAGGGAAATCAAAGAAGGATCTCATTTTGAATGATATATGTTCAAAAATTTAAACTTGTATTATTATGTAAAACTTTTTTGAAGGTTAGTAATAGTAAATTCATAAAGTGGAAGCTGATTTCAAACTTAACAATGAGGCCTGTTTGAATATCTGGGTTACTTATTCTTGACATTAATATATCTCAATAAGTTACCTATCATTTTATTTATTTTAACACATTACTAATTATACTAATCATATAACTTATTCAGCAGAGTTTATGAAAAGTTTACGACCTTTTGTTGTACAATTTACAAAAACGTACAATCATAGACATTGTAGTGGATGTCAATTAGCATTGAAAAGAATGATCATTGTTCATATGCTGATTCTTGAACTGTTAATATCTAACTGGTGATCATTCTGGATAGATGAAGAAATAAGGAAAGGAAACTTGTTGAAATACTTTCTGATGAGAATTTAATATTGAATAAAGCCATTCATAATAATGATAATAATATGAGCTTTAATAATTTATTAGATTATAAAATACTGGTATGTATATAGTATTGTTCCCATTATTCATGAGAGAAGTCATATGTGTATATCTGACATTCGTAAAGAGTTTTGTCGTTTGTCTGTGATGAATGGTGTACCACGGAACTACATTTCTATGAACGAAGTGTTTTCATTTGATTTTAACTCAATTTTCACGAATAAAATGCTTTTAAATGTATGTAGTTTGGTCATTTGTACCTCAAATGCCTTGGTTCGGCCGAGGGTGGAGAGAGTCAGCCCCACCTCTTCAAATGTTTCCACATGGCCGTGTGCATGCAATCACTGACAGGGAAATTCTACTCACTGCCTTCTCGTGGCATAACTGTTGTTTACGAAATTGAAAGGACGAAAAGCGAATGTCTGGCTCTTTAACAGAGTTGGTGGATATGGAAGATCCACATATAGGAGTTGGAAATCCCTAATCCAAACCAATGGTGCACATAGGCTCCAGGATCCTCAGAGAACAAATGGCGCATGAATCAATTGTTGGTCACTGGTTACCATGTGACTGCATCGCCTGACATTGTTCCACTTCTTTGTGGACTAGACCTTAAGGCCAAAGGCTTCGGGTGTTTTCACCTAAGAAAACCACCTGCTTCAGTTTGAGCACCTGGGCTGTATCACGGCTCACACACAAATCAAGTGACTTGTGTGTTGCATATGTATTCGATGCCCATTTCTACGAATATGTATGAGTTCAAACAAATAAATCTGTTATGCATCTTGTTCTTAATGCTTAAAAGTATCATTATAAAATCATTGTCATCCTATATTCTACTGGTCTAAAAAGTTTACTTAACTTCAAACATTTCATTTTTAGACTTATTCAGGATTATTCTGTGTAGCAGTTAATCCTTATAAACGTTTTCCAATTTATACTGAACAAGTTGCATTAAAATATAAAGGAAAAAGACGAGGTGAAATGCCACCACATATCTTTTCAATTTCTGATAATGCTTATCATAATATGTTACAAGGTTAGTTACTTTTCTTTTCCAGGTAATTCGTTATATAAGTGTCAATCTTAATTAAATGGGTTTTTTCTTACTTCATTATTCTACAATTAAAAATCATCTACTCATTATGAGAGCTTATCTGATATTTTTAAAAAAAAAAGTTTTTGTTTTTGATTGAGATCATGAACTGATTGATGCCAGACCACCAGTGAAAACCTGAAAGCACTGGACGGTTGTTTCATCCTATCATGAGACCCTGAGTTCGAATCCGGCAACAGGACAATGGTGGTCTAACATCAATCGATTCATTATCTTAATCAATAACGTAATAATTTCCAAAACCTAATACTGATAAAAAAAAAATCATTGTATTTTCATTAATTTTAAACAGATCGTGAAAATCAGTCCATTCTGATTACGTAAGTTTCTTGCTTTAAAATATTTGAATATAACAATTTAATTATTGTTAACCTTACACGAAATGAAATTTGTTCTATTTTTTGTTGTTGAAAACTTCACCGGATTGGTTATAGCATTATAATGTTAGATAGTTAAATGGAATTATAGCAGAATGGATTGAATGTATACTTCGATTGATCATCAGTGGTAATGTGTACATGTAATTCAGTAAGAAACAGGAGATCTACCTACATCTAGTGCTGCGGTTAGGAATGTTTATTGATAGAATGTTTGTCACTAAAGGATTAAACAAACACAACACCAATTACTTTGCAGTAATTGACCAGTTGTAAGTAACTGAGCCGTAGAGGTAGTTAGTTACGACCTCAATGACAGAAAATAAAGCTTTGTTAAATTTGTGAACAGAACTATTTATAAGTATTGTTAGTTAAGCAAAGATAGATATAGATGAAATATAAATGAACTATTTGCTCATGAAGATAGTGATAATTATATTTGAGGATTTCGCATTTCCAAAAGACACCACTTAAGTAACGTGCACTCACAACCCAACATATGGTAGAATGTAAGATCTTCAAACTTTGATGCTTGAACTATTTTCTACTCAAATCAGCATATTGCATAATACGGTCCTTTATAATTTAGTGACTTCAAACTTGGGAGGGTTATTAAATCTCAATCTAATCAATGTAGAATATATGGTTGGGTAAGTGTGTAGCCAACAGAAATCTGATTATTTTCACGTATTGACATGTACACACACACACACACATGAAGCACATGGCTTTGATGATTCTATGAGGAAATTGTCTACTACACTACAACATAGCTATCATGGTGGAGAAGATTTGTAGCTCAGGTGGGTGATTTTGATGGAGTTTTGTTCTGTGAGCTGGATGGTTTGGTCGTGGACCTTTCATCGTCCTAAAATTAATTTTATACTTCTTATATACAAGTTATATTTATCTTTTACTTATTAAACAGAGGAGAAAGTGGTGCTGGAAAAACAGAAAACACAAAGAAAGTTATTTCATATTTTGCTGTTGTCGCAGCAGCTTCAAAGAAAGAAGATGATGAATCTAGCAAAAAGGTTTGTATTTACTTTAAATGAAAACAAACAAACACCATTTTAATATCTAGTTATATGAAAATACTTTCTGAGATAGTTGAGTTAGTTTGTGACACTTGATCGTTATCATTCTGAACAATATCGTCAACATCTATTGAGCTCTAAGATTGTAACATTATCAAAAGTACCTACCTGAACTGAAAATTTTTATGATCATTATAGAATGATGCATTAAGACCTTGTCTTTGGATTAAGTTAAATTACCAAACGCTTGAGACATTTCATTGGTAATAAGATTTTAAGGCGAGTCTATAATTTATGAACGAACCAATCAGATATATGATAACAGATCTTGGATTTTGGCGTGAAATTCTTTATCCATTTGGTTAAATAGTATCTTAGCATTTTAGCTGATGTTAGTTCGTGATCAAACCCCTAAATTTAATCCTTATTCCTAAGCATCAAATGCAAATCACAATCCTTAACGTTCACGCAGGTTTAAAACCCTTATTTAACCCTAATCAGTAGGTAAACATTCCCAAAGTCACTCTAGTATTGCTCAAAGATTGTCCATAAATTATAGTCTCACTGATATTAGATTTAGATCACCCCAAGAATCTTGAATTGTAGACAACTAAAAATGTTGACAATACAATCGAAGCTTCAACTTAAGTTAATATGTTTATATGATTATAATCTACCATGAATTTAGTAGTTGAATTCATGAGTCGATTCAAGTTAGACCACCATGGAAAACTTGAAAGTACTGGATGATCGTTTCATCGTATTATGAGACTCCATAGAAGTGCGTATCCAAGATCTCACACGAGGGACTCAAACCCAGTACCCTTGGTCTCACGTATGAACGCTTAACCTCTAGACCACTGAATTGAATTCATACATAACTTAATTCGTTTATTCATAATATTTAATTAGATTAATTATTTTTTAAAATTTACTGTAGTTTTTCTTTTCAATATTAAAAGTAACTTTTAGTAACTGATTCATTAAGTTAGTTCTTTTGATGGATTTGAATCAGGAGAGAACAAAACTAGAGACAGAACATTATGAATTCACTCTATTTTGTGGTTGCTCTTAAGCTGTTTACAAATATCTTCATATTGAAATGTAACATTGAATCATAACATAATATGCAATAATAGACGAGGATGATGGGAAAGACTTGAAATAACAAACGTTTATATATATAACCATATGTAAGAGTACTTTAAGATGGGGATTGAAAACAGAGAAATTGAAGTTATACTACTTAAACCATTCTATGTTGTATATATATTAGGATTCAAAAACTGCTAAGATAGACTACTTATTAATTATAAGATATTTAAAGTGCTTACATAAATCTAAGATAATTTGAAGGTGTATAGAAGACAGATAATGTGATTGTAATGGTTCAATGTTTTAAGATTGACGAGATGGATTAGAAAATAACCATAGAAGATCTTATGTGTTTACACAAGTTTAGAAAATTGAGTAAATGAAAATCACAGTTGAATGAAAAGATAGCAATAATGTGATATGTGCTACTGATGTCGACAGATATAAGTAGTATGTATCATCAATCAAAAGTGAAATGCCTGGTGACAGAAGATTAAGAAGATCAAAGAAAAGAAAATGAGAACAAACAATGATTGATGTAGAAACGATAGAACAATGGGGTCTGAGACGATTGACTGATATTTTGCAAATAAAGTATTTACTGTGTGAATCTCAGATTTTAATAAGATGTTCTGTAATTTTGTGTTCATCTACATTCGATTATCTCCATTTATGTTCTCGTTCACTATAATAACAATAAATAAAGACAATTTTGATCAAAATTACGAATTTACCGAGGAACTGATAAGTTGGCAACTATCTCTTTCAAAAACTTAAGAAATTCTATGATTCACATTACTGACAGACCTTAGTTAGATAACCACTGACAACCAAGAAGTACTGATTAGTTATTTCTTCCTTAAAGTTAGAAATGTAAAGCACTGGTTACTAACTCAATGGCTTAGTGGCTAAGTGCTAGCTATAATAGTTGAGTATCCTTGGTTCAGTCCCTTAGATTGCGGTCATGAATGAGCAATGGTAAGGAGTCCCACACTAAGACAAAATAGCCATCCAGTACTTTCTGGTTTTAAATAGTTGCCCTAATCAAGATCAAGATTCAACAGCTAGCACAAACTTCATGCATTAATTTAAGAAATCATTTGAAAGCCAATAAAATTAAGTTGATTTTGATGGAGTTTTATTCTCTGAGCTTGATGGTTTGATCGTGGAGCTTCATCGTTCTTCTGAACGACATCATCAGCACAAACTTCGGATAGAAGTAAGTTGCTATATAGCTTAATTCAGATTTTAAGCTTCTGAATGATTTTACTGTGTATATCTCTTTATCATTTAGTTATTTATCAAAATCAAATTGAAATGTTCATTACTTTCTCTTTTTTTTTGAATTAGGGAACACTTGAAGATCAAATTGTTCAAGCTAATCCAGTTCTAGAAGCATATGGTAATGCCAAAACTACAAGAAATAATAATTCATCAAGATTTGTAAGTTATTTATAAATAAAGATAAACATTGAATAGGAGGAATACAAATGTAAAATCTCAGTGAAGTAAACTTGAAGTGAATCCAACGTGTCGCCTGGCAATCTGGTACAAGCTTTTTCCAAGGAAATATCTTAATCAAACATCAAAATGATCGAATATAAATAGATAGTACATGGTTCTTCGATTCAGTGTACACTGAATAGGTCATCCAATCAATGTTAAAAATGTTTAAACTGGGTATATCGTTGTATCGATTGCTTGAGTTCCCAGTTAATATAGGACATTATACGACCGCTATCAGGGAGCAGTGAATTTATTGATCACCCAATGATACACAAAGCCGTGTGAGCATTCTTGAGTACTTATCAGTCCTGCTTTCTGCCTAACCCAACCAGTTAAGTCCAGAACACCAATAACAGCTTCTGCAATATGAATCATTATTCTCACACATACTGGGTTTACATACCAATCAAACAGACCACCTCGTGCCACAAAATAGAAAATAACATTTGTACAAGATTTAGCCAAATGTGGCTGTGAATAGGGGAAACAGTAACCAATAGACTGGGTATAACTCAAGAATGGTGAATTGTATAATAATAATCTATACGTCAAAATAAAGCTTAAAATAAGAGGGATACGAATATGAATAGTTAAGTTACTTAACAATTATACAATAGGAAATATACTCATCATATTGGTTCATAAATAATTCTCAAAGTTACCATTCATTATTCTCCACGGGATATAACATATATGTATTAATGTGTAAGACCTATTCAGTGTACAATAAACCGAAGAACCATGTACTACCTATTTATATTCGATCATTTTGATGTTTGATCAAGATATTTCCTTGGAAAAAGTTTGTACCAGATAGCTAGGCGATACGTTGGATTTACTTTAAATTCACTTCGCTGAGATTTTACAAATATATTCTTCTTCCTAACCAATGTCTTGCATCAATTTGGCGCCCAAATACTGACTGAAACTATTCTCTCTAATTTAAACAAAAGTTCTTATATAAAAGATAAACATTCTTTTCTTTTCTGTTTTTTTTCTTTTTCAATTAGGGTAAATTTATTCGTATTCACTTTGGTACAACTGGTAAAATTGCTGGAGCCGATATTGAACATTGTAAGTTATGAAGTTAACAATAACAACAAGCAATTACTTTTTCTTTTTCTTCTCATAGATTTGCTCGAGAAATCTCGTGTAGTTTCACAAATGAAAGGAGAACGGAATTATCATATTTTCTATCAGTTATTATCAACTTATGGTTCTAAATATCATGGTAAGTTCTTCTTTCTCGGTTATATTTATATTACTAAATGTTTTAAAGTATAATAATTCAGTTATTGAGTGATTTGTAATTGATATGCTTGATGCTAATTACAATTTCTCGGTAAACGAACTAAGGTAAATGACACAGTGACACGATAGGCTAATCTAATCCATTGTCCCAGGCTCCGCTAACTAGAGGAAGAAGTTCAAAATGAAGTAGGGGAAAATACATTCCGCAAGCAGCCGTAGTACAAGCAGTCGTAAGGGGAAAAACTCAAACGTATATATACAGCGATAAATTGTCCTTGGGCAACATTACAAAATAGCACACTCAAAGTTACAACGGACCAATAGCATTTAAGATATTTTACATGTGGGAAATTTGACTCAAAAGTGAAAAGAGCGCTTTTGGTATGAAAATAATGAAATTCAAATTTTCAAAATAAAATTACAAAATCAAGCCATTTACCAAGTAAGTTCTGACGATTTAACATCCCCAACAGTAATACGAACTAACCTTAGTTAAATAATCATTGGAAACAAAGTAAACATTGGACAGGTGTTTCGTTTTAGTATGAGAGTTTTCGTTGATACGGATCGATGTTCCTACCTTGAGAGGATTTAGCTCAGGAACTTTAGATATCACAGATAAGGTTTAACCTTTAGAAACATTGAGTTAATATCTAATACTTATTTATTATCATCATTATATTTACTTTTCAGATAAATTATTAGTTCAAACTGATCCTGCTTTATACAGTTTCATTAATCAAGGAGAATTAACTATTGATGGTGTAGATGATAGTGAAGAAATGAAATTGTGTGATGTAAGTTTAACTGATTAGTAATTGTTTGTCTATCAAGTTACTTACTTACTCTTCAGCGTAGAGTTTAAATGGTTAAAATAATATTTTTTGGTTGACACTTTCTTAATAAAACTGTTTACTACGAGATGGGGTCGCTAACTCCATACCTAACCCTCCTCCTTTATCCGAGCTTGGGATCAAGAGTAATCCTAGAAGGTCTGTAGGCGAAGTTTATATCGAGATAAAAGAGGAAAACTGATTTACAGTCATTTAGGTAAATTTTTAGGACTGAAAATTAATTAAAAACTCCATTTAGGGTTTTGTTACTTTTCGAATATTCAGAGGACAGTTGTTTGGGTCTATTAGGAATGAATAGATTTTGAATATTTCTCGTATTCAGATGCTTTTACAGCAGCTCAAGTACAGTTGAGTTTATTCATATCTAATTTGGTTAAGTCCTTTTGTTAAGTTATTTAACGGACAGAGTCACTCGTAAAATAACAACCTACTTATACTATTGTACTTTGCACTTGTATAAATATGTATGCTTCAGCATTGCTTACTGCCAACGCATATATTCATTCTGCTAGCCTTACTATTAGTCCCTTAATTGATTTGATGATTCATTCATTTCCATGTGTATACATATGTATGCACTCGTTCATTGGCTCGATCACTTTCTCACTCTCACTACTCTTTCATGCTTGGTTAACGTGCCTGTAATTTTGGATATCTGTGCGTGATTCAATAATAAACGTAATCAACACTTAATATTCGCCTTCTGATCTATACACATTTGGGGAGTTATCGAGTAACGGTTATCAGGACGAACAATATACGAAGTTTAAGGATAATATTGAACACAGACCACCACACGTTCAGTTTACAGAAAAGTATCCACACCCTACTAAGCTTCATGATGCTGTGAAAAGTTCACTCGAGAGATATATTCATACTTCTTAATCTAGCAGACAAATGTCAAGGCTGACTGAAGATCAAGGTAGAACTCAATTATGCAGTCGATTAACAGTTTGATTGGTGATTTCATGAAATTAAATTAGGATATTGAATGGAATTAAATAGGAGGTTTCTACGTTGTCGTTTCGGTTAATTTCAATTGTGCTTCTGTAAAATGAATTGGGAATGTTTTGTAGACATTGGCTTAACTGAGCTGATAGCCCATCGCTAATTACTTTCAACGATCGTCTAATTCAACTTTACATATAAACATTTCCTATGAGCTTACTCAACCTGTTATACAAATGAGAAGATGAAGAAGTGACTAGGAAGTTGTAATTCGTAAACCGAATAAATTTAACTTAGCATAAGTAAGTAGTATGTTCAAACTCGTCCAACGTATCATTCTGATCAAAATTTATTTTAATGTTATATAGTTGAGATCATGAGTCAATTGGAGCTAGACAACCATGGAAAACCTAGAAGCACTGGACGGACGTTTTGTCCTATTGTGGGACTCTTCAGTAGTGTGCATCCACGACCACCCCCTCGCAAGACTCGAACCCAGGACCTACCAGTCTCGCGCCAGATCACTTAACCGATAGGCCACTGAACTGGCATCCAACAGTGTTTTCCATGGTGATCTAGGTTCAATTTACTCATGATCTCAACTAAAATCTCTACAAAACCCCTTTCTGATTTATTTTTAATGTTGGAAATATATATATATATATATTCCTTTTTGCTTTATCATATCTTTCATTCGCTACTTACCACTTTCTATTTCTTTTTTCTTGTTATTAGGATGCTTTTGAAGTTCTTGGATTTAATGATGATGAAAAATTATCTTTATTCAAATGTACTACATCAATTTGTAATATGGGTGAAATGAAATTTAAACAAAGACCAAGAGAAGAACAAGCTGAAGCTGATGGAACTGCTGAAGCAGAAAAAGTTGCATTTCTATTAGGTGTTAATGCAAAAGATCTATTAACTTCATTTTTAAAACCAAAAGTTAAAGTTGGCACAGAATTTGTAACTAAAGGTCAAAATTTAAATCAAGTTAGTAATCCATTATGTATTTATAATAACTATTTATGAATTCATTTGTTTAAATCTTCCCATTGATGTTTAGGACTGCAATTGATCAGTCTCTTGTTAGCATATATGCTTCCTATGCGAATTGCCTCGATATTGCTTTAAATCACAAGCATTATAAGCAAAGATGATTGGTGGCTGGCAGTGGAATCCAGGACGCTTCGTCCCATTTGAGACTCGTCAGCTGGATGTATCTAGGTTCATATTCACAAATGAATATCTGCACTTTTTCATGAAAAGAAATTCATAATTCTAACTACTTAACTGTAGTTATATATTACTGAGTAACGCCTAATGTATCTTTCATCATAAATTGATATTAATTTTCAATCTCTAAATGATGCCTAAATCTCACTTTGATTTGCACTGATAATAAGCGTTCTTTTTATGTACAATTACCCCCCCCAAAGTTATACGTTCAAAATTCATGAATGTTTGTAGGGTTGCAGTTCTCCAAAACATTTTCCATATTCAATAACTGTAGTGTTCGTTTTGCTTTCATTCATTTTTCCCGTTTATTTAATGGATAAATGGTACATGTTAGAGTGAAATTTTAACAATGATTTCATTTCAAGCGGGTGAGGTTATTCGCAAACTTCTTCTGTGATGTGTATAACATTCTGTATGCAAGCTTTAAGGCTAGAAATGAAACTAATGATAAAACGAACTCTAATATACAGTTAAACAACCTAAATGAGCAGCAGTATAACCGAAATTACTATTTACCAAACATTTAGTAAATATCGTAAACGTTGCAGATAACGTCAGTCGCTTTTTCAGGTCTATTTGATGATAGGTTTCGTCAAAAACTGACATTATTGAATTAATTTCGTGGATTTTTCTTTAAAGTATGAATAGTAGCCCATATTTTTAATGAATCACCATCATACCTGGGACTATATTGACTTTATAGTTTACCAATTCTTTAAATAGAGCCTAGCTACTAGAGGGGACACGAATAATGCTTAATTAAGTGATTTAAAGAAATTAACTTAGTTTGAAGAGAAATATTAAGAATGTATGAACCAATAAGGTAAAGATTCACTGTAAGTTAGAATTCATTATAAATGAAGGTTAAAAAGTAAAAGCAATTATATGGTGTTAATTGATTAGAGATTGTCAACACGAAACCCTGTAACTTGTTAACGTTGAAACATAGCACATACAATATCTTGTTGCTCAAACTAGAGACCAATTTACAACTTGATCGATCATATCTTATCTCCATTAAGAACTAGACAAATATAACATTAGGCACTGCTTAGTGACTAGTCAGTTTAAATATATAAAGTGGTTGTAAATGGTTACAACTAATTAATTGGATAAACTCTAGTTTATAACCAACTATATATTTGATAAAAATGATTTTTATAAAAATAATGGGTTGGAGGGGCTGTTTCATCCTAGTATAGGACTCATCATCGGTGCATATCTAAGACACCGCCAAATGATGTGCGGATTCAAAATGTTTAGATCTAGTATCTTTTCAAAGGTTATCTAATTAAGGTGAAATATAATCATGATTTCGTCGGTTGTTGTTTTAATTGAGCTTTTATTAATAAGTTTATACAATATGATCAACCTAATATTTTTGATTATCTCTATGATTCGCCAAGCCTTAGGCCTCAAAGAGATATGTAGAGAGAGAGAGAGAGAGGGATAAAGGATTCTCATACTTTCCTGTGGACTACTCTTTCACAGGTTTATTTTTGATCCCTAGTAATTATTCGCGTTATCATATTCTCTTTTATTATTTTATTTCAATCAAAGGTTACATATGCAGTTAGCGCTTTAGCTAAGTCGTTGTATAATCGTATGTTTGGCTGGTTAGTAGCTCGTGTCAATAAAACTTTGGATACAAAAGTTAAACGTCAATTTTTCATTGGTGTATTGGATATTGCAGGTTTTGAGATTTTCACTGTAAGTTTTATTATTATTATTTTCATCATTATTATTACGGTTATGAATTTAAACGGCTGTCGCCAATTTGTTGTGAAGTTATGCGCGGCTTTTATCACGTGATTTACTCACCAATCGAAATACGACTTATCCAATCTTAGCACTGTGCCAAATCAATGACGTTCAACCGATATGAGCAGCCTAGCGCCCTTATTGGTCCCTTGTCCGCCTAGCCCTTCCAATTGAGTCCAGAACACCAATTACAGCTTGTGATATGCAAATCATTTATTTCAAGCATACTCGGTTTATATACCAGACAAACAGACAGACCGCATCACACCATAAAATAGAAAATAGTGTTTGTACAAGATGAAGCCAAATGTAGCTGTGAACGTGGGAGACAGTAACCAATAAAATGAGTATAATTTAAGGACAGTAAATCGTATAATAATAATCCATAGGTCAAAATGAACCTTATAATAAGACAAATATAGATATACATAATCTAATCACTCAACAGTTAAACAATAAGAATATATAGAGAATAATAGTCTATTAATAGGTCCCGGAAATTACTCGTACTTATTTCTTCACTAGGATATAACAATTAATATTATTATTACTGTTTATAAGGAAGGTGGATCATTTGATTTACAGGTTCATTGAATTAGCTCAATTAATAACGGTAACAATGTTTGTTTGTCGACGTATGTTATAGAAGTAACTAGAGATTCGTAATTTTCCCAACAGTTCAATAACTGAGATGAAGTATAATATTTGTAGCTTAGGATGTTGATGAAGATATTCCTGAAATGTAAGATGACTATTAGTATACTACTCAGTTAGTAGTATCAAATGACATACGGACTGATAATGTCTATGAGGTGTTTATGATCATAATAGCAATCTTTCTTCAAATCCATATTTCTTATTTGACGTGGACTTATAACGTTTTCAATCTTGTATTCCAGATGATAACCAACTTTATGAGTACAAAAACTTCGTTCTGATTATATATATATATAAATTACACAAACTGTTGTTTATTGATTTCTTATTTGATCAATATATTTTAGATTTAACATTGAATGATCGCTGAGTAAAGACCAATGTCATATTTGTTTAATGCTTTAGTGATGATTGAATTTTATCGATCAATTTGTAGTGTTAAAGGTCTAGGCGAACATGACATTGGTCACTATTCAGTAATCGCTCAGTTGAGAATGTTACAGCTATGTAGGAGATCAGTCTTATCTAGAATAGATCAGTCGTGAAGTCTGAGATTATGGAACTAAGTGACTATCGTTCGAAATCTTTAGAAGGCAATAACTACTCAACATTGCTAATATGACTTGTTGAGGGGTCCCAACTAGTAGGAATCACAGGTCCAGGATCTACACACTAACTACGTTCAACTACCAATTATGGTTGACATAATATTTATTGTTAGTTAATCTTTGTTTTGTTTTACAATTCGATAAGTTGTTCTAAATTGCGACCTAAATTTTCTTTCATTATTCAAGGAAAATGGTTTTGAACAAATTTGTATTAACTACACAAATGAACGTTTACAACAATTCTTCAACCATCATATGTTCGTCTTAGAACAAGAAGAATATAAACGTGAAAAAATTCAATGGACATTTATTGATTTCGGTATGGATTTGCAAGCTTGTATAGATTTAATTGAAAAGGTAAATTATCAAATTTTTCAAGCTTTGAGTACCCTGATAAGTGGAAGTTATTCATAAGCAGAAATCCTAAAATAAAACTTGAAGGGTTTGTCCAAAGTGCAGTACCATCATAGAAACAAACATAAAAACTAACACTTCAAGTAAAGCATGAATCATGAAAGTTCAGGGCATAAATTACGTCTTTTAAAGCAGAGAGGGAAGAAATTGTTTCTTCAAACAGGTGAAGAGAGTACAATGCTACCATCTTTATAAAAACCATAAACCAGTACTTAGCTATGTTAAACTAAAACGTTACCAATCGATGACAAAAGGCAAATTGTTCCATATAAGCAATACTTAGAAGTTTAGCTGATACAAGTAAACTGAACGAGGAAAGAAGGAAAAAATAATTTCATAAGGTTAAGAATGAAGCCAAACATGCAAGTAGGAGGTTAATGGTTATATCATTTATGCGTCACAATGCGCAAAAGTTAGAAACTCTCTAATACAGCCAGACTACTTATTGTCATCAAGTAGTTTATCTCTAAATATTAAAAATAAGTAGCTGTGAAATGATTCAACTGATTCGAAACAAGCATGTTAACCAACTATCTGAGACTGAACAAACTTTATCTATAAAAATTTTAGTGATCTAGCATTTTAGACCTTTTAAGCCAGTCCAAAGAGATAGATAAAGATTCCAGTCTGAAAGGAATGAATGTACAGTAATTCCTATTGGATCACCTTTGAAAAGCTTACAAATGAACGGACAGATAGTAGCTTAGATTTCTTTGCTGTGTTTACAGTTTTGTTCTAATACCTTGCTGAGTATATTTCTGGATACATTTCAGAAACTGTTTCCTCTATATATTGGAATGAATCGTTAGTCAGTAGTCAAATCAATTCTATGAATTCTGCTATAATAAATAGCTATTGAATCTATGTAAACTATTCGTTTTACGAGTCACTTTTCCACTTTTAAGAAATAGCGACAAACTGAATGACTTGATAATTTTTACTTCATCATTTCATTGCTTCTAAAGCCTCGTATTTTACATCACAAACTGATCATATTTAGATAACCATTGTAAATTAGGGTGAGCTGAATAACTGTTCTGTTGAATCAATGTCTCTCGATTCTTGCTTCTAGCGTTTATTTCTTAGACCAATGATCTGATATCCCATTGTTTACAAGTCTAGCTGAGACCAATTCAAGGTGTCGTGAAACTATCTTTTAATGCTATTGATTACAAATCACATCAAATGTGATGTGGTTGAACTCCACTGTTTATAACTTCTCATCAGGACCCAGGTTGTTAGCTCTTGAAGTTAATCACTAGTTAACATATAGGCATAGTGTTAACATAAAAGAATTAATGTAAATCTATTACATTTCGGTTTAATAATGTTTGTAAATTTTACTTGTTTTTTCCTCCATTTTTTTTCTAGCCTATGGGTATCTTATCCATTCTAGAAGAGGAATGTATCGTTCCCAAAGCTTCAGATCAAACATTCTTGTCGAAATTATATGATAATCATTTAGGTAAAAGTCCTAATTTCACCAAACCGAAACCACCGAAGCCAGGACATGTAGAAGCCCATTTCGAATTGCACCATTATGCTGGATCTGTAAGTAACCGTGCATATGATTCATATGATTTCATCTTACTAAAATAAAAATTGTATATCCATATTGCATTAAATTGACTGTATTTAATGAAATATGTGACACTATTTCGAGTGAATAATAAAATTATCAGTATGTAGCTGTGCAGATTAATGGATTTCATTGAGATCATGAAATGTTCGTTGGTTAAACCGAAGTAATTTTATTCTATTGCCGCGTGCGGGGTTGTGGATGCACACTGTCGATGCGTTTTATATAAGGTCAAAATGGCCGTCCGAAGCTTACAAGTTTTGAATGTTGGTCTAATATTGATTGATCCATGGTTTCGATGAATAATAAGAAGTATGGCATTTCAGGTATTTTTTCTATTTTCATACCTTACGAGCAATTTTCTTCGGAGTTTGTTCTGTACAATTTTCTTTGTAGTGATTTTGTAGAAGATAATAAGGCTTTTATGATCCCTGCCTTTTAATGTAATGCCTTTATGTAACTATTCATTTTCACAGGCAATTTGATTCACTCTCTTTTTTTGTAATCTGTCATCTTTCTAGGTTCCATACACATTAACTGGATGGTTAGAAAAGAATAAAGATCCACTTAATGACAGTGTCGTTGCATTATTAGGTGATAGTAAAGATCCTATAGTATCTAATCTATTTACTCCAGTTGTCGGTAAGTAGTAACTTTTAAATTTTTTTATTTATTTACTATTATAAAATAAGTGAACACGTAAAATGACATTAGAACAATTAAAGTACTTGAACTTACTCGCTCAGTTATGCCTGTTACCCCTCGTGGAGGAGCATAGGCCGCCCACCAGCATTCTCCATCCAACTAATTAAACCGCTAAAAAAACGCCAACCAGAAAAAAAAGAATTCAAAGTGCTTAAAAGAAATAACTTGATAGTTTATATCACAAATTGATCTGATTTAGTCAATTGTTAAAAATTAGAAGACGTATGGTTACTATTTCAATATTGGAATGAATAACAGAACTCATTAATGATTTCATTGAGGATTGAAGTCAAGATCTTCAAGATTCATACTTTCTACGTTTCAATGATTGTCTTCATGAGATTAGTTCGTTTTTATAAATTATGAAGTCCAATCTCTTGTAGTAATTACAAACTGAATAATTACTAATTTCAGTTTATTATAAGTTGAAGTTATCCATAGTCTAGTTATGTATTTGTATTACATTTTAAATCTGTTTACTTATGTTTTAACTTGTAAATAAATACCAGTGGAGTTCATCCAAGTCTGTTGTAGAGATATCAACTCACTGGAAACAATTGGTGAATAGTTGCTCAATTTTGTGGGTTTGTTGAAGTTAGACATTAACACCGTTGGTTGTCAGCCAGCTCAGTGGTCTAGTGGTTAAGCGCTCACGCGTGAAACTAACAGGTCCTGGGTTCAAATCTCGTGAGGCGGGATAGTGGATGTGCACTGCTGAAGATTTCCACAATAGGACGAAACGGCCATCCAGTGCTTCCAGATTTTTCATGGTGGTCTAGCTTCAATTGACTCATGATTTCAACTATGAAAATAAATACTTTGTTTGAATAACAGTAATTGATGGTAATATTTACTGAAATTAGTATCTTATAAGTAGTATGTTTTCAAAAAAATATAAATAGCTGATTATTCAAGAAGAACTTTTATTGTAAATCAGCTCTTGATTATTAAATATGATCCATGATGATGAGATCGATATCTTCTTCTTCTTCTAATATTACCCGGAGATTATATTGAGAAGTATTGATTAAAATATTTTTTTGAATGTTCAATATTAAATTTCGACTCTCATATATAATCAGAGTTATTTTTCAAAAGGAATCAATAAATGTTTTACACATCGAATTGAAAAGATTCAACTGAAAATTTTAAATTTGAAAAGTGCAATTCAGTTAATAACTGGGTTTTTAGTCAGTTACTTCAGGATTAGATTTCATCGGCACCTGAACTAATGATAGAGAGTGAAGTAGTTGAGTGTGTTGACCGCTTCACTTATCTTAGGAGTCTCATCACACCTTGTGGTCTAGTGTGTGAGGAAATCTCAGCGCGGATACAGAAGGCACGTCTAGCTTTCTTCAACTTCCGTCATTGATGGCGTAGGCGAGAAATCCGTCTACCGACTAAAAAACGGGTTTACTGCACAGCATTTCGTTCCGTCCTACTTTATGGCTGTGAAACATGGCCGATAGGAGTGGAGGATATTTGTAGACTTCTAGTATTCGATCATAGGTGTCTTCAAAGCAATGCTTTTATATCCTGGGACTACCGAGTAAGTAAAGCAGTTGTTAGGAAACGGGTACTAGCTAAGGATGGCAAATCGATTGATGAAGTAGTGAAAATTCATCAGTTGAGATGGCTGGGACACGTGTTACGTATGCCAAACCACCGACTGCCCCGTCGTGCAATGTTTTATGGTGTAGGCTTAGGTTGGAAGAAAGCTAGGGGTGGCCAGACCAAAAGGTGGCACAAATCCATGAATTCACTGACAAGTGGACTGGGTCGTATTGGTAGGTGTAGACTACCTGGTTGGGATTCGCGAGATGATAGCAACCGATGGTTAGAGACCTTGAATGACATGGCTCAAAATGGTTTGTAATGGCAAAGGTGCATTTACATTTTGTGTTCTGCCAAATTCTAATCTTGTGAATCCCTCATATCCCTTTCTTCTTATCTCTTTTCAAATTTATTTTACTGGATTATGCTTTTTGAATAACATCTTCAAACCCTAATCTTTCACATTAATGCTTATACTCTTACTACTTCTACCACTATGGGAATGGAATCGACAACTGCATCTCTATGCTAATTCTTTCTTTACTATCCACCATATCTAGTCGGGATTGGTAATGACTAGGTATTAGTAGAACATGACCCAAAAACGTCGGTAGACGAATATTTACACGGCACTTCAATATGTGATATCAACAGAAATTTTATTCACTTACTAAGGCATGAAATCGAATACAAAGTTGAAAAATAGAAAGAAGTTATCGCGTAATTATTTGTGTTCATTGGGTATTAAAATCTGGTACGGTGAATATCATTGAAGTTCTATTCAAATAATAAATATGAGCAACTAGTTGAACGACTAACATATTGTTTTTCATCAAAGAATAATCAAAATAAAGTAGCATCCAATATGGGACTGGCAGTGAAATTCAGGAAATCTGTTTCATTCTATTTAGAACTCACCAACTGGAAGTATTTACAATTTAGTGCTGGTGTTTACATTAAGTTTCAAACTTAGAATACTATAGATTGCACTGAGTAACTAACTTTATATAGTTTTCAGAAGAGAGTTTTGTGGAGATTTTAGTAATTTTATATAGTTGAAATTGTGAGTCAATTGAAGCTAGACCATTATGGAAAACCTGGAAGTACTGGACGGCCGTTTCGTCCTATTGTGAGAGTCTTCAGCAGTGCGCATCCACTATCCTGCCTAGCGAGATTCGAGATATCAACTCACTGAATACATTGGTGAATGGTTGCTCAAGTTTGTGGATTAGTTCAAGATAGACATTAACATCGTTGGTTGCCGGCCAGCTCAGTGGTCTAGTGGTCAAGTTCTCCCGCGTGAGACTGAAAGTCCTGGGTTCGAATCTCACTAGGCGGGATCGTAGATGCGCATTGCTGAGGAGCTTCACAATAAAACAAAATGGTCATCCAGTACTTCCAGGTTTTCCATAGTTGTCTAGCATCAATTGACCTATGATTTCAACTTTATAAAGTTTTATTTAATATTTTAAAATAAGGAAAAATTCTTATTTCATATTTGTAAAAACTTCAACAAAAATCCATATGTATATATGTATATGTACATGTATATAGGTGAACCTGGTAAAAAGACGAAAGGTGGCTCTTTCTTGACAGTGACCTACATGCACAGGGTAATTCTTATTACAACAACAGCACCAAAAACAAAAACAAAAAACAACATATAAGCTAATAATTTAACTCGTATGCTGATCTGTTGTCTCATCTTATAGACTGTTGCTATGTGGTTATGACATTGTGCTGATTAATTTATTATCTGCTTGCTAATGCTTAAAACAAAAAACAAAAGAGAAACAATATCGATTAATCATATTGATTTGATATAATTAATAATCTAGGTGAATTATTCTTGCATATTGTTGTGATAATATGCATTTTCGAGAGCAAACAAAATCAAGATCTGCTTTATTTTCATTTTTTTATTCATTATACAAAATGATACATATATGAAAGAGTATTGTATATTCGATGAGATTATAATCTATGAACGATCTGATTAGATTTCGAGTAACAGTTCTTTGATTTAGCGATGAAATTCATTTATTCATTTGCCAGCTCAGTTGTCTATCAGTTAAGTGCTCGAGACTGATAGGTCCTGGGTTCGAATCTCTCGAGGTGAGATCGTGGATGCGCACTGCTACTGAGGAGTCCCACAATAGGACGAAACGGCTATCCAGTGCTTCCAGGTTTTCCATAGTGGTCTAGCTTCAATTGATTCATGATTTCAACTATATAAAATAGTGTTTTGGTCAAGATAGTGGTTGGAGGTAACCTTGAAGGAACTGAGGCTCTCTGACGGATTCAATTCCGTGTAATTCAGCTTCACAGTTAGAGATGTTACCTCTGAGCTATCCGGGTGGCGACTGACCTCCTGTAGCAGTGAGATGTATTTACATTTGATTAATCAATGGGTGGTGATCAATCATCTGTGAGTGCTTTAGTCAGTTTAACTAATGTCTAACCTCAACCATAAATTATAATCTCATCGTATATTCTATTTAAGTATTTAAACAATATAAATTCACTGCATTATTATCATTATTTACAATTTATTTTGGCTTTAAATGCTTAAGCATGCTAATTGAAAATACACAGAATATCATATGACCAATTTATTGTTACGTAATTGTTATATCGATCGTTTGTTTTTATTTATTTACTTTCATCTTCAATCTCACTTAACTGTCATATCGTTTCTATTTGTAATGATATGCATAAGCAAGTGGCTATCAGGACTCAGTAGATGAGTGGATAATGTGATGGCATTTGAAGCGAAAGGTACTGAGTTCGAGTCCCAGAGTGAAATGCAGGTACATCCAGCTGATGAGTCTCAAATAGGATGAAAAGCGCGTCAAACTGGATTCCACTGCTAGCCACTATCCATCTTTGCTTAATATGAAATATACTTAATACTGTTTTTATCAAACTAAATCTTTGAAACTTAATTTAATCGTCGATTTGCTGATTATGACAATGATTATCATTATTACATTTTCTTATGTGTTATTACTTCTTTATTTATTTTGTTTTGCATATAATTTGCTTAATTTATTCTATACTACATCTTCTAATAGACGAAGGTGGAAAACGTAAAAAAGGCGGTGCTATGCAGACAATATCTGCTGTTCACAGAGTACTCATGTTTTTGTTATGGTTGTTGTTGATGATATTGTAGATTCTCTATTGAAAATATTTAGCCTATAATTGTAGTTGACCTGATTGTGTTCCTTTCAACAATTTGTTCTGGACTAATCCTCTAATCGCACGTAACACATATAAATTATATCGTATTACCTCATAAAAAAATATGTAGAGAAATAGTAGATGACATATGTGTTGCATTCATACTGTATTGGATACACAATACGATATTTCTATTTGTATGTGTGTGTGTACGAGAGTGTGTATATGTTATCTTGTTATGGTAGTAGTGATAGTAGCAATACCTGTAGTACTAGTAGTAGTAGTAGTAGTGGTAGTGCATCTTTTGGCACAAAATCAATATTTTCACTCGGTAAACAATTTGAGTACAGTAGAGTTTACGAATACCTTTCCCTTAATTTTTTTCAAATGAATAATCATTCATCAATGATTTATTCTTATTATTATTGTAAGGATAATTGTTATAGATGGTTTTCACAGATTAAAGGTTTTTTTGAATATTGTTTAAAGTAGAATTACATTTTTGGACAGATTATTGCAAAGTATATATTAGGTCATCAGGTATTAGGCAGTTCCCTTTACTTTGAAGTGAAAGGTACTGGGTCCGATTCCCAAAGTGAACATCAACTCTGAGATGCAGTACATCCAGCTGACGAGTCCTAAATAGGACGAGATTTGCATCCTGTAATTCAATGCTAGTTACTATCCATCTTTGCTTATAATGATATCTATTTTGTTTCATAAATAACTTGTATAGAATTAAATTATAATTTTTGTGTACTTCATGAAATCAAATTTATATCAATTTCATCATAAACTAAATATCAATTATTGTGAAATCACATTGAATAGCTCTGTTGTTTTAATTACGAAAGTTTTAAAGTAATCCAACTTGAAACCTTTCCATCAACTTGTGATCATCACATTATAATTGAGCTATTAAACCTGAATTTCATAGTCAAAATTATTAGAAATCATTGTGTTTATCCTCAGTAATTATTATATTAACTAGGTAACAAATTGTATACATTTTTAACTATTTCAAATTAAATTTTGTTAGACATTTCATACTACTTACAAACTTATTTCAGTAGCATATGTGTAATTGATAATAATAATAACAGTGATCCAGGAACTGCATTGATTGAACAAACAATTCATTGAACTATAGCTTATCAAATTAGCATGTATTCTTTCATCTTTCCTTAATGCATGTCCTTGTATTGATTAGTTATACTTAGAAATAGTATCTACCAAGCATGATATCATTGTTATGTTGAGTATGCCAAATTATTTTGGTTGCTGTTTGTTATTCATTTATGATTGTGCATGGATTCTTCTCTTTTCTTTTCTTCTATTTTTTTCTTTCCTTAATTTGATTATTTTATCTATATTTTTCTACGTTTATTGTTTCATTTCAATCCATTTTATTGTTGTAATACTTTTGTTTAAATTTAGGAATCATTGAATAAATTAATGAAAAATTTACAAAGTACCAGTCCATCATTTATTCGTTGTATTGTCCCGAATGAATTTAAACAACCTGGTGAGTTAATTATCTCTTGTTTTATATCATTTTATCATTCAATTATTCAATGCTTTAATGAATTCTGAAAGTTTCATACTAGGAAGAAACGAACTTTCAGTGCTTTTAAGTTGTCGATGTTGGTCTAACTTTAGTCGGTTCCATTACCTCTGAAGTGAAATAATTCGTATTTATTCAAACTTTGCTGATTGGCAGAACGATGATTTAAAATCAGTGTGGTTACTATAAGAATAGCTTAAACTCATCCTTATTCCACAGGTTTAACAAGATTTCTGAGATTTTACTTTTTAGAATGTGAGTAATAAGGAAAAATTGAACGAGTACGGAATCGAATAAATTATACATATGACTCTTTAAGTTTGAATTGAATATATATACAAAATTTGAACCTATTTGGTCGGAATTTCACTCACGAATACTTTAAAAACTCTGATAAATCTTCTGATTGTAGTTTGCAGAATCAGTGATTAAAAGTTGAATATTTTATTGTTTACCATACTGTCTAGTTGCTTGGTGATTGTAAGTAATCAACAGAAAGTCCTGTACCTAAATTTAGTGTTAATTGATACTCTTTAGCAAGTTATAACTGTGTTCTTGGTGCAACTACTACTCAGTGTGGTATTCAAATTGTTGACATCTACTCCCACAGTCTATGATGTTACCACCGCTAATCTGAACACAGCTGACCTATGGGATTGAGATATTTACATTGATTAATTACTGATTAGTGACCACCATGATACTTACCCAGTGTCCTAATTTTGACCAAATTCTATCAACCAGGTCGAAGTGTCTCAAAGTGTTGGGCTTGATGGCACGAGTTTAAATCCACCTAGGAGGAGCAGCCCTCTCAAGATTTCGGTTATATTATGATAACAATTGCCATCAACCACTAATCTTAGGTCCAATATTTCCCACTGAATACCTCAAACTACGTTGAAGATAAAGTCCGTAAATTTATCTATTTCTAGCCTCTTAAATAATTGTAGATACAACACCAGGTATGCAATCTTATGTGTTCCTCTACTAAATGGTGTATTCGTACACATTATGTAGCTGAAATATCACAATATACTCTTAATGTCTGAAATCCACTTCTTATTTGGATAATTTGATAGTTTTAGTTATACTCATTAGAAATCCTTTTACAATTGTCTTGTGTTGTAAGCTACATATGTTGACAGATATAAGTAGTATGTAGTGCTAGTAGGAAGTTGAATGCTTGACAACAGAAGATTTAAATCAAGAGAATAGGAAGGAAACCAGAGAGCGATCAAAATAAGAACATAATTAGAGGAACAATGGATTATGTGAAAGATAACTCAAAGAAGATGTGCAAATAATACATTGGTTATCCCTACTTGGGTTCTTGTTTACTACAGTTTTATTTACATAATTATCTTTACATTGATCCTTTATCTATAGAGCTTATGAAAGTCCCTATGAAATAATCAAACTAATTAAAAATAAAAGTAAACTATTGTAATTCCATAAGTTTAGTTATTAAACAACAGTTTTGTATTACACCACAAATTATTATGTCTAGAATAAATTCTAATCATATAATTACTTCGTATAATTCCTCATATTGAGATCATGAACCGATCAAGTTTAGATCACCACTGAAAATCTGGAGCCACTAGATGGTCGTTTCGTCCTAATATGAGACTCATCAGTTTACACGCGAGACTGAAAGTCTGATGTTTTATACCCACGTGCGGGATTTTTAATGCAAACTTCTGAGGAGTCAAATACACTAGAACGAAACGACCGTCCATTGCTCCCAAATTTTCAATGATTATCTAGCACTGATCCATTCATGATCTTAATTAAAACTCAACAATTTCTATAAACATTATACTGATAATTCATTTGCACTAAAAGATCTAATTAATTAAAATCCATAATTTTCATTTTTTTTAAAAATTTGATTATTTAAGGTGTCATTGATGCACATTTGGTTCTGCATCAATTACATTGTAATGGTGTACTTGAAGGTATTCGTATTTGTCGTAAAGGTTTTCCAAATCGTATGATTTATTCTGAATTCAAACAACGGTAAGTTTATTTTAATTTATTTTATTAATGAATAAACTCAACAAAAAGTAAATTAATCATAGGGTCGCTAACCCCATGCCCAACCCTCCTCCATTATCCGGGTTTGAGACGGGCAGTAGCCCTCGGAAGAGCTGCAGGCGGAGTTATGAGTTTTAACTGATTAGGTTCAAATATATTAAAAATAAAATAGTTTTGCATAGTTGAAAGCGTGAGTCAGTTGAAGCTAGACCACCAAGGAAAACCTGGAAGCACTGGACGGCCGTTTTGTCCTATTATGGGACTCCTAAGCAGTGCGCATCCACGATCCTTGGTGGTCTAGCTTCAATTGACTTACGCTTTCGACTATGAAAATACTAAATCTCCACAAAACCCCTTCTGATAATTGAAATAGTTTTTCTCAATGAGATTGGACGGTTGCCTTACTATATCATAAATTGATTGAAATTTAAATATATCATTAAACACTTACTCAATGGTTCTTATAATGGTTAAGTATTCGTCGTAAGACCTGAAAGTCCTACGTTTGGCTATTATCATGGTGGTGAATTCTTGAGAAGTTTGATTAGTTTCATACTGGCAGAAAATAACTGTCGAGCAATTTCTAGCTTCCATTAATGCCTTGACTAAGATTAATTTGTTATGAATACTAGTTATGAATTCAAATGAATTTCCATTAGGCTTCTTTAACCAATTTAATATATAAATTAAAATGATTTATGTAAGATGAACAGATATTCAGATTAGATTATGTAGTACAGTGATGTAACTGACAAAATGAAAATATTTTCTGTTAGCTACTTGTTACTGTTATAATACGACTGATGACTTAGTGTTATTATCAAATTGGATACTCCATCGGTACTCTGTATAAAAGTTTAGAAGACTAGAATATGGGGTAGACAATATTTCATTCTACACAAGTTACAATCCATTTAACGTTCAATGAATTCAGCAACAAAAAAAAAAGAAAATTAAGTCATATAATAATTGGTCAGTAAGGTTGGGTGTTTTCTTTTCCACATTCAGTGAACAATCATATATTGTTTTCACTAGCCACATACTATAAACATTTTAGTATAAAACAGATTCGATGAGATCATAATTTATGAACGATAGCGACACTAGACTGACTATGAGAGTGTCCACCTAATAACTAAGACCAAATGAGGGTTATAAACCAGTATGAGGAATTTTGTTCTCTGAGCTGGATGGTTTGGTCGTGGAGCTTTCATCGTCCTTCTGAACGATATCATCAGCACAAACTTCGGGTAGATACAGCCAAAACAAAGAAATAAACAATGACAGATTTAAGGTCAATGAGAACAAATCAACATCTAGGTGCACAGGACAAGCTGTGAATCACATGTGGAGAAATTCAAACACTTCACTTCTACCCGAAGTTTGTGCTGATGATGTCGTCCAGAAGGACGATGAAAGCGGCATGACCAAACTATCCAGCTCAGAGAACAATACTCCATCAAAATCGCCCACCTGAGCTACATATCTTCTCCACCATTTCATAAATGTGAGGAATTACAATTATGATTTGCAGTTGATGGTTAAGGTTAGAAATTTGATTTAGGGTTTTCATTACGAACTGATATCAATTATAATGCCAAAACTTTATTTAGCCAAATGGATGAATGAATTTCGCGCCAAAATCCGAGACCTCTTAACTTAAACCTGATTGGTTTTTCCATAAATTATAGTCTCGCCAAAAATTCAATTTAACTCTTTTGAGAAAATAAAATATTACCTGATGAAATATACAAGAATATAGATGATGTACTGAAAAACTTCATCATAATCATTATGATCTCATCATGTTTACATATAACTTACTTACTTACTTACGCCTGTTACCCCTCGTCGATGAGCATAGGCCGCTCACCAGCATTCTCCATCCAACTCTGTCCTGAGCCTTCCTTTCCAGTTCTTTCCAGTTGCCATTCATCGTTTTCATATCTGCTTCTATTTCCCGGCGTAATGTGTTCTTTGGCCTTCCTCTTTTACACTTCCCTTCAGGATTCCAAGTTAGGGATTGCCTTGTAATGCACATTGGTGATTTCCACTTCCAACGTCTTTTTCTAATTTCTCTTCAGCTGGAAGCTGTTTCGTTCTCTCCCATAAAACGCTGTTGCTGATAGTATCCGGCCAGTGGATGTTGAGTATTTTGCGTAGACAACTGTTTATAAATACTTGTACCTTCCTGATGATAGTCGTAATAGTTCCCCACGTTTCAGCTCCGTACAGTAGGACTGTCTTGACGTTCGTATTGAAGATTCTCACTTTGAAATTAGTTTGCAGTTGTTTTGAGTTTCATATGTTCTTCAATTGTAGAAATGCTGCCCTTGCTTTGCCAATCCTCGCCTTTACATCTGCATCCGATCCTCCTATGTTTACATATAAACAAAAGTGAAAATAATCACATTTTCTAGCATAACGAGTTTGATATACTTTAAGTTCATAAATGTATTCAATCATATAACTGGAGGAGGAGTGTAGGAGCTACTCACTGATATTGCGAAGTATCTAAAGTTAGAAAAATGATGCAAACCATTAGATTCCAGGTTTTTCATATCAGAACTCCATGTTTATCTACTTAAATGTGGAGATTCCCTAAGTTTGGTCTATTGTGAGTTACTTGATGGTTGGTAACTTTTGAGAATTGTTTAGCTATATCTTCAACAACTCTCCAGTTTGTGTGAATCAATAATGAAAATCATGCAATTAGTATATTATATATAAATATAACATGTTATTTGTAGCATTTATTCAGTATAATAATTAGTTGAGGATTAGTGGCAGGACACCCTGTCTTCCATAAGACGTACCAATAGTCTTTAGAGAGATGAGATAACATTTAGGATTCGATTCCGTGTTATCTAACTTTACAGTCTTAGACATTTCCACTGAACATTTTCGAGGTACGACTAACCCATAGAAGCGCGATGTACTTACAGTTGATTGATCACTGAATAGTGACCAATTTCATATTCATCTAGTTCTTTTTTAGTGATAACTGCACTCTATCGCTGAAGTTGCAATATGGGAACTAGTCTGAACGACTTGATATCTCATATACTATGGTTTCATGTTAGATGTTTGGAGCTAGTACTCAGGAAATCTTTTTAGTATACTACTACAATGGCTTATATCATATTAGATTATGTATAATATAACTAATGAAGTTTTTTCCCTTTCTTATATATATATATATATATATATTATATCTTATCATCTTTGTCATATAAAGTTATTCAATTTTGGCACCAAATGTTATACCTGATGGATTTGTTGATGGTCGTCAAGTTACAGAAAAAATATTGGAAGCAACACAATTAGATAAAAATCTTTATCAATGCGGTAATACAAAAGTATTTTTCAAAGCTGGCACCCTAGCTCATTTAGAAGATTTACGTGATGATAAATTAAATGGTATTATTAGTTTATTCCAAGCAGAAATTCGTGGTTATTTAATGAGAAAACAATATAAAAAGCTACAAGATCAACGGTAAGTTTGATTCTTTCAACACAATAATAAGTAGTAAAAGTAGTAGTAGTAGTAGTATATTTTAATGTTGTTCATGTCAAATCAATAACAGTTTTGAATTATATGAAAATGTTATAAACGGTAGGATACCTGTTATAACTCTAGGGTTTCTTGTTATAACAGTCCTTTCACTTTTTATACATATGTGGGATGTTAATTTACCTTAGATGAATATCTACACTAGATTTCCCATCCAATGTTTATTCTAAAGGACCTCAACACAATTCAGATCAAAAACACGAGATTAGTCTGACTAGAACGTCAATATATTTCCACACCGAAACCCGACATAATCCAACAACAAGGAACAGTCAAGCAATAATAATCAGGATAGGGGAATATATAACATATATAACACCTGTTTCACCATCTACATGTCTGACTTAACAAAACTACCAATCATTATCATTCTCGCTCACACATCAGAAAAGATTTTTCTTTAAATGTTGAAACCATGGTGAAAGGATGTCTGAAGTGGTATAAAAACAAAATAAGTCGGTTAGTGTGTAGATAAAAGGTCCATAATGAAGGAGAGGGTGGAATAAGAAAAAACTGAAGGCTAAGATTGTTCTAAATCTTCTAAATATACGATATAAGCTTAACGATGCTGATCACTTTTGTAGATCAGCATATTGATTTTAAAATGGCCAATTCGATGTAATTTTGACAACCACTTACATTAATTCATTTTGAATTTGATGATAGTTATAAAGGTTATTTCTTCTCGACAGTTGAAAATGACAGAAGAAAAAAAATACTTATTCATCGGTTACCTGTAAATGAAATTCAGTAACAGATGGTCTTGATAATTTGAAAGCTTAACCACAACGCTGATGAAACAACTGTTTGAAAACTGTTACACATTGAGTTTTGTGTGTTAGCTTCGTACTTTAAAGCTTTACAGTTTTTAGTGAAAATTCATGACCAAAGGTATGGTGTTATGTTTTAGAGTAGACCTTTTTTAACTCTCTTATTCTGCTCGGTTTAGGTAGTCTCTCTACAGTTACTAGTTGTGTAAAGGAAACATTTAACTATCGTCACATTCCAATAAAATCAATGTTACGGTTTGACCCTGTTATATCGATTGAGTGTTTGCTGATTCCCACCAATGAGAGAAGAGTGAATATATTGATCGCCTAATGATACACGAAAACCGTATGAGCAGTCTTCGGTACTTATCAATCCTGCTTTCTGTCTAGACCAGCCAGTTAAATGCACAACACCAATAACAGCCTTTGCAATATGAATCATTATTCTCAAACATACTGGGTTTATATGCAATCAAACAGACCACCTCGTGCCATAAAATAGAAAATAACATTTGTACAAGATTTAGCCAAATGTGGCTATGAATAGGGGGAACAGTAATTAATAGACTATGGATAACTCAAGAATGGTAAAACGTATAATAATAGTCTATAGGTCAAAATAAAGCTTAAAATAAGAGGGATACGAATATGAATAGTTAAGTTACTTAACAATTACACAATAAGAAATATACTCATCATATTACTCAATAAATAGTTCTCAAAAGTTACTTACACATGATACTCCCAATGGCGCATAGGCCACCGACCAGCATTCTCCAACCCACTCTGTCCTGAGCCTTCTTTTCTAATTCTATCCAACTTTTGTTTATTCTTCTCATGTCTGTCTCTATTTCTCGAAGTGTCCGAGCAGTCTAAGTCGTTAGACTAAAGAGTGTTCTCAAAAGTTACCATTCATAAATCTCCACGATATATAACAGACTCACAAACTTTATTCCTTTCAAATCTTACCATTCAATATATATCAAATCACTTTACCTTTTTTCTTTTATTTTTCATTTTCAGTGTTGCACTTACATTAATGCAACGTAATATCCGTAAATATTTAGTATTACGTAATTGGCCATGGTGGAGATTATATACAAAAGTAAAACCAATGTTAAATATAGCACGTCAAGAAGAAGAAATGAAAAAAGCCGCTGAAGAATTAGCTAAATTAAAAGAAGAATATGAAAAATTAGAAAAATTAAAAAAAGAATTAGAAGAACAAAATGTTACTGTATTACAACAAAAAAATGATTTATTTTTACAATTACAAACTGAACAAGATAGTTTAGCTGATGCTGAAGAGAAAATATCTAAACTTGTACTACAACGTGGTGATATGGAACAACGTATTAAAGAATTAGAAGAACGTTTAGCTGATGAAGAAGATCAAGCAGCTAATTTATCTGAAGTGAAAAAGAAAATGTCCTCTGAAATTGAAGAATTAAAAAAAGATGTTGAAGATTTAGAATCATCATTACAAAAAGCTGAACAAGAAAAACAAATCAAAGATAATCAAATACGTACATTACAATCAGAAATGGCACAACAAGATGAAATGATTGGAAAATTAAATAAAGATAAAAAGAATTTAGAAGAACAAAATAAACGTACACAAGAAGCATTACAAGCTGAAGAAGATAAAGTGAATCATTTGAATAAATTAAAAGCTAAATTAGAATCAACATTAGATGAAGTAAGTTGATTATGTAATGTGACTCCAATTTTTATACTTTAATTACTTACTTACTTATTGCTTTCACCCCTCGTAGAAGAACATAGGCTGCTCATCAGTATTCTTCATCCAATTCTGTCCTGGACAATCCTTTCCTTATTTCTGTTTCCCTTCAAGATTCTATGTGCTTGACTCATGATATTGTTTGATGATTTCTGTAATGTATGTCATATTCATTTGCAAAGTCCTTTTTCTTAATTTTCTATTCCTCTGGAAGCTGATTTGTTCCCTCTTAGGGTATGTGGTTACTGATGGTATCTGGCTAATGAACAATGAGTGTCTTAAGTAGACAACTGTTTATAAATACTAGTACTATGTTGATATTGGTTGTAGTAGTTCTGTAAGTTTTAACTCCGTACAGTAGAACTGTCTTAACGTTCGTATTGAAGGTTGTGACTGTGATGTTGGTTGGCAGTTGTTTTGAGTTTCATATATTCTTCAATGGAAGAAATCCTGAACTTTGCCCATCTTTGTTATTGCATCTGTATATAATCCTCTTTGTCTATTGATGATGCTTCCCAGACACGTGAATGTTTCCACCTCTTCCAGAGCTTCATCATCAAGTTAGATTGGGTGGGTGTTCTCCATGTTGTATCTGAAGATCTTGCTTTTTCCTTTGTTTACGTTGAGGCCTACTCCCTCAGAATATGTTGTCACGCTGGTTGCCTTCATCTGTAATTGTTCGTGTATATTGGATGGAAGAGCTAGGTAATCCGAGAAGAATTATAAGTGTCAAATTTTGAATCCTGTCTATTTTCGATAGGCAAACAGAACGACGAACATAGTTATCCCATATACCTTCTATTACTATTATCTCCAAGCTAAGAAAAAGGATAAATATTTTGTTGTTAAGTCGTTAAAAGTAATTGGTGAGAGAGAAGGAGAGAGAGAGACAGTAGATCTTCACTTCTGCAGGCGATCAATCGCGTTGCGAATGGCTCACAACGTAACGTCTAATATTGTGAAACCATGAAAATGATTGGAATCCTCCAAGAGGGATTAGTTCCATATAAATCCCAGGTATAACCTGCTGATGAGTGCTAAATAACACAAAACTTAGACCAAGTAAGATTTTCTGTCGATTACTATAAATCATCTACTTTCAAAATTTAGTGCTCGCAATGTTGAATTCCATAGACTAGCGTAGACACATTGTAACCTGTTCATTTGAATTTGGTCAACATTGAATCACTAGGTGAACACGAAATTGATCAGTGATTATTAGACTGTACGTCTATAAATTATGTAGAGAAAGGAGTAGTTGAGGATGTTATCTACATTACAATATCCTTTTCCTAGCAGGATATGATGACAAAAATATTGACAGAGTAAACTAGAAAAAATAATCTGACTTTGGTTTCACATTGAATTCACACTGTTAATCTACCTTTTGCTTCAAATGGAATATGTCAAAGATATTTTGAAATATAGTTTGATAAACCTAACAATTTTTAGACATTTTTATCAACAAGAGCGTCTAACAACACAGAACATTACTATACACACAAATTATATAAATTGTTTCAAGTAAATATAGTTTCTATGAAACAAAGAAACGAAGAAACAAAGTTGAACTAATCTGTTGGGAGATATCAACTCACTGAATACATTGGTGAATGGTTGCTCAATTTCATGGATTGGTTGAAGTTAGACACTAACACCTTTGGATGCCGGCCATCTCAGTGGTCTAGTGGTTAAGCGCTCGCGCACGAAATTGATAGGTCCTGGGTTCGAATCTCGCAAAGCGGGATAGTGGATGCGCACTGCTGAGGAGCTCCACAATAGAATGAAACGGCAGTCCAGTGCTTCCAGGTTTTCCATGGTGGTCTAGCTTCAATTGACTCATGATCTCAGCTATATGAAACAAGGAACTGTTAGAGACTTAAATAGATTGGAATCACAATACTAAACTGGATTACATGTCATAGTATATTGTGTCATTGACTATCATATCGTGCATTATTTATCGACGTTCGGACTGATTGGTGAGATGACCATTTTATGATATGGTCCCTGGTATTGAAGAAATCTGTATAAGACTGGCACCATTACTCCTCAGTTCGAGTTAGAGAGATAGTGCAACCTAATGGCTTGAGAAGTCATCAGATATAGCTCAGAATAGAAGTCAATGAAGATCCCCCAATAGTTCTATTTTTACATCCTTTATATAAGTGAGAGGAACTTGCTTATTATTACAACTTCACACTACTTTTTATTTATCTAGATGGAAGAAAATCTAGCTCGTGAACAAAAGATTCGTGGTGATGTAGAAAAATCTAAACGTAAATTAGAAGGTGATTTAAAAGCTACACAAGAGACTGTTGATGATTTGGAACGTGTAAAACGTGACTTAGAAGAACAATTACGACGTAAAGAAGCTGAAATTGGTGGTTTAAGTGGTAAATTTGAAGATGAACAAGGTTTAGTAGCTCAGTTACAACGAAAAATTAAAGAACTTCAAACACGTATACAAGAATTAGAAGAAGATTTAGAAGCGGAACGTGCAGCTCGTTCAAAAGCTGAAAAGAGTCGACAACAGGTAAGTAAAGTTTTACAGTTTATTGAAGTTACAAACTTATATTCAGAATAAGAAAGTGGTAAATAGAGAGGTGAATGATGTTTCGCTTTGATTTGATTGTTCAGATGAATGCCAACTATAAGTGGATAGGTAATAAACAAAAATAAGTTATCGGGATGGGGGGAGGGATTTGAAAAATTAGTATAATTAGAAGATAGATTTCATTACAAATCGGCATGAAATGAAAAATTATTGAAAAACAACTCAGCAAATGGATCCAAAATTGTTCAGATATTATCAACAGTGAATAGTTACAAATTAATTTAAAATCATTTAAGTCACATCAATTAAATATACTGAAATATAAATTATGATCAATTGAATTTATAAGCAAAGATGGATAGTGGTTAGCAGTCGAATCCGGGACATGAATTTCTTCCTGTGTGGAACTCATCGGCCGAATTCACCTGCATCTAAGTTGATGTTCATCCCTGAACTCAAACACAGTACCGTTCGCTTCAAACGCCATCACATTATGCACTTAGATAATGAGTCCTGACAACCACCTGCTTGTGCAGTAGGATGAAGTTTAAATTTACATCGTGTTGTTTGCTTGCATTTTCCGATTGTTGTGCATATGTGCATCATGTGTGGATTGCCTCGATACTGCCTTAAGCCACAAGCTTCATAAGTAAAGATGGTTGATGGCTAGTAGTGGAAACCAGGATGCGCGTTTCATCCTATTTGGGAGTCGTCAGCTGGATGCACTTGCATTCCAGAATTGGTGTTAGCCAATACAGATAGGGGTTAACATTGGCAATGTCAATCTGATCCGTAGAAAATGCATATATATTAAAAAGACACTGATCAATTACGGTATTTAACACAAAACAATCAATATACATAAATAAGACTTCACTCCATAACACAAGTCGGTGGCTATCTGAACTCAATAGGTAAGTAAATGTATAACATGACAGCATCTGAACTGAATATTACTGTGTCTGATTCCCAGAGTAAACGACAATTGTGAGATGCAAGTACATTCAGTTGATGAGTCCTAAATGGAACGAATGGATGGATTTTATTCTTAGCCCGTATCCATCTTTACTTGAATATCTACTGTTTACTTAGCTAATAAACTTTTTTTTTCTTTTTTCTTTTTCAAAAAAATATTACAATAAAAGCTTGAAAGTGAATTAGAAGAAGTTGTTGATCGTTTAGAAGAACAAGATGGTGCTACAGCAGCACAAAGTGATTTAACTAAAAAACGTGAAGCTGAATTAATGAAATTAAAACGTGATTTAGAAGATACACGTTTACAAAATGAACAAGCAATAGCTACAATGCGTAAAAAACAAAGTGATGCTATTAATGAATTAGCTGATCAATTAGACCAAGCTAATAAAGCTAAAGCAAAGTAAATGAATAGTTTATGAATGATTTTTTTACTATAAATTTAATAAATACAAGACTGTATGCCAATTTGTTATTGACCTTATGTCCGACCTTTCATCACGTGATTTATACACCAGTCGTTATACGACTTTTCCAATCTTAGCACTGTGCCAAAACAATGACGTTCAACCGGTATGAGCAGTCTAGCTCCCTTATTGGTCCCTTGTCCGCCTAACCCTTCCAATTAAGTCCAGGACACCAATTGCATCTTCTGCTATGCGAATCATTTATTTCAAGCATACTCTGTTTATATACCAGACAAACAGACAGACCGCATCACACCATAAAATAGAAAATCATATTTGTACAAGATCAAGCCAAATGTGGCTATGAACGTGGGATACAATAATGAATAAACTGAATATAATTTAGGGACAGTAATTCGTATAATGAAGCTTATAATAAGATGAATATAGATATACACAATCTAATTACTCAATAATTAGCCCATAAGAATATATATATATATATATATATATATATATATATATATATATATATATATATATATATATATATATATATTTGTAAACGTAAGGATGCCGTCGCCAATTGTTATAAACGTAGGATGCTGATTATAACTTTAGGGGTTTATGGTTATAACAGTCCTTTCACTTTCTACACGTATGTGGGACGTTAATTTACCCTAGACGAATATCTACACCAGATTACCACCCAGTGTCTATTCTACAGGACTTCAACATAACTCAGATCAAGAACACAAGATTAGCCTGACGATAACGTCAATATATTTCCACACCGAAATCTGACACAAAGAACAGTCAATCAATAAATGTCCATCAACAAGGAACAGTTAATACATAATAAGGATAGGGTAATATATATAACACATAACACCTGTCATCCTATCTAATGTCTGACTCATCAAGACAACCAATCACAGTCATTCTCGCCCACACATCATATATATATATAAGAATAGTCCATTAATAGGTCCTGGAAGTTACCCATACTTATGTGACTAATAGAATTCAACCGTGTCGGGTGTGAGGCACTTACCCACCGAAAACAGAAGAAGATGGTCACGCACTATTGTGGATTGATAGTAGTTAGATATTAACACTATTGAATTCCGACTAAGTGCTCCAGAGGTAAGACGTTCGTACGTGAAACCGAAGGCCCTGGATTTCAGTCCTGCATGATCGATCGTTGGTGCACACTACTGAGGAGTCCTGTGCTAGGACGAAACGGTTGTCAATTGCTTCTAGGTTTTCTAGATTGACCTAACATTCATCATTTCATGATCTTAATAAATATTCTACATTGGTATATTTATAATTATTTTTATTTATAGAGCTGAAAAAGAACGAAGTCAATTCAAAGCTGAATTAGATGATGCACATAATCAAGTGGATAGTATTATGAAAGCTAAAGTAAGTAGATTAGTGAATTTTCTTTTGAATTAAGTTTTGTTTTCTTTTTTTACTTCGACGATCATGGTGATTAAACACAATTTGTTGTTATGAGTTCTGAACGTTACATAAAGTTATTTTACTGCTTTTCATTCGATGTGATGTAAAACAAACGTCAGCCACTTTTGAATTTCGTGCAAAAAATCCAACAGATTTTTTCTCAATTCTGATTGGTCCATCCGTATTCTACACTTTTATAAGTAATTGTATTCTGAATGGGGATTTGTGAAGATTGTAGTAATTTTGATAAGTGAATTCATGAGTCGATCTAAGCTAGATCTTCCTTGAGAACCTGGAATCAATGGACTGCCGTTTCGTTTCAATGTGGGACTTCTCAGTAGTGAGTAGTCACGATCGCGCGAGCGAACGTTTAACCTCTAGATCACTGAGACTATTCTACTCAGAATTCATTTAATCTAATCTGATATAATTCCTTTTTTTATTTTTTAATGAAAAAAAATTTAGTTGAATTCCGAGAAAACAGTGAAGGCTCTAGAATCTCAATTACAAGAAGTTTCCGTGAAATTAGATGAAGCTACAAGGAACTTAAATGAGCAAGCTTCAACTAAAGCACGTAGTAGTCAGGAAGTTTCTGAATTACAACGACAATTAGAAGAAGCAGAGTCACAATTAAGTCAACTGAATAAAATTAAACAACAACTAAGTGCACAACTTGAAGAAGCACGTCATAGTTTGGAAGATGAAAGTCGAGTAAGTGTAAAAAATTAATAATGTTTTATTATTGCAATTGAAGTTGGTCAATAGGAATGATTGCCTACAAGTATCCAATGGTCACCTGAATTAAAGTAGTATTCATATGGGTGTTATTGAAGTGACAAAAACAGTGAGACTGATTATAGACACCTCGAAACCAATGGTTTCACATTACATTTACTGAATATTCACCTGGTAATCACTATTGTTTGATAATTCCGTAGTTTTAATCTAGCACTAAATTCAGTTCAAGAATTTAAGACTTCACAAGGACCACTATACTCAATGAATATTGTGTCAAAATGCAATAGTCCACATTACTATTTTTAATCAGTTCCAGAAATAAAACACGGTCATCACATGATTCCGTTGGTTGTAATCTTTTTCACTGGGAGCGGCAAGGCGGTTTTCACTTCCCGGTTGCTCATGATGATGAAGTATACTATTTTTCGAGGTACCTTAAAAGAACACTAGACTACTACTAGTGTTGTCCAACTATGAGGATGACAACACAGCTAAACAGATATCTACTTAAGGTCGAAGATTCATGACTTTTCGGAGTGTAGTTTTGACACATTAAGCCTACATTTTAAAGGCCTTAACTTCGGTAACGGACTTTAGTGAGACTAGGTGACATGTATTATTTTTAGGATTGACTTTTTCTAACACCCAACAATACAAGAAATATAAATAAATTCCAGATTTAATTGAACCTTATCTACTTTGAATCATACTCTCACTTTTCTTATCCAATCTAACTTAGTACTTTCCATCTAAATGTAATATAATACGTTTTTGCATTGGTTGTTTAAATCTTCCTATTGGTATGTTAAAGACAATAATTGGTCAGTCTCTCTCATTGGCATATGTACATCCTATGCGGACTGCATCGATATTGACATAAGTCATAAGTATCATAAGCAAAGATGTATTATAAATGATATTCTTCTTCTTTCTAATATTTATTTAGATGAAAGCTAAACTAAATGGTGAAGTACGTAATTTAACTAGTGACTTAGATTCATTACGTGAAACATTAGAAGAAGAACAATCAGCTAAAGGTGATTTACAACGTCAATTACAAAAATTACAAGGTGAATTACAACAATTACGTTCACGTGGTGGCGGTGGTGGAGATGTTCGTTCTGAAGAAGTTGAAGAATTAAAACGTAAAATGAATGCTAAAATACAAGAATTAGAATCAGAAGCTGAATCAGCTAAATCAAAATGTGGACAATTAGAAAAAACTAAAGCACGTTTACAAGGTGAATTAGAAGATTTAATGGTTGATGTTGAACGTGCCAATGGTTTAGCTAGTCAATTAGAACGTAAACAAAATAATTTCAATCGTACATTAGCTGAATGGCAAAAGAAATATGCTGATTCTCAGGTGAGTTATTACATGAAACAAACTGATTCTAAGTAGGCAATCAGTGGAAAATAGCAAAGATTTAATAGTTGTTTCTTCATAGTATGTGACTTTTCAGAATTACGTATCAACGATCCTTCAGACTATCAAACAAAAGGCTTCTAGATACTTGTTTGACATTTTTCATCTAAATAATCACATAATGTTTAATGTCTAGATTGGCATCAAAACGTCTGATTATCCAAGAATAGGCTTCATAAGGCAAACTTGAAAATGATATTGCTGAGAGAATTATTAATGATTCATTGAACGATTTATTAGTAGCATTTCTGATTCAGTTTATATTATCAATTCTGTTCAGTAGATTGTATTACGTTATAATAATATGAATAAACGGAGTTTGGAGTGATGAGCTTATACTTTACTCATTGGAGATAAGTTTCAACTAAATATTGATAAACGATATTGATTGGATCTTCGGTTTAACCTACGGTAGTCACTAATTACGGATAGTCGAAATTATTCTAATACGAACAGAGTCTATTATAAACGTGACAAGGCGGCAAATAATATACATAACTCTTTGACAATAATCTTCAACAAGGGAAGCAGCAGTATAAATGAAAAATCGATATTTAACGAAGGCAAAAGGTGACGTTGTTGGGGATGCTTGATCCTCAGAAAGCACTTAGTAGTAAACGTCTCATTTTTTGTAATTTTGTTTTGGAAATTTGAATATTACATTTTCACTCCAAAAAGCACTCACTTTTACCTTCATTTTGCTTTTCCTACTTGGAAGGACCTTGAATATCATTGGTTCGTTTCCTCTTTTAGAACACTTTCTTGTGACATTTTCCAAGCACATTTTTGTATTGCATATATATACACATGAGTTGTATGCTTGTTCGCTCGTGCTTCCGACCGATAATAGAATATACTTTTATCTCCGCTGAATCTGGTCTTCTCTCTCTAGTTATGAGTTCTGGAAGCAGTGAAATAGTTTAACTTGTCCTGTTGTTGTGTTTATGACTTTCGTTACTTTCGCCGGTTTCATGTGATATCATAATCTCCTTAGACATAGCAGATCTCGTAGAACAAAACATTCAGTCAACTTAAAAGTGATAACAAACAATCAGAAGATAGAAAAGTTCATGTAGAAATACGAATTCAGGGTTTTTGTTACAGAAAATAATTAACAGTGCAAAGATAAAACTAGATAATCTAGAATCTTGATAACAATTTCCAATTGAAGCATCAACTCTGGGACGCAGGTACACCCAGCTGACAAGTCCCAAATAGGACGATTCGCGCGTCGTGGATTCCATTGCGAACCAGTATTCATCTTTGCTTCAAACTTTATACTGTTTTAAATTATTGATAGATAACCAATATCTTTTGTGAGAACTCATATTACAGATTATTATAAATTACAATATAAAAGAAGGTTACGTAACAGTAAAGGTTGATACTCATATAACTTCTGTTGAAGCTAATACTTAGTATTCAGTTGAATTTAAATGAATACTGTTAACTGTAAGCTGATCTTAGCGAATTATAAAACCAGGAACCATAAAACAATTGCCTTGTACCAGTTCAACTTAAACAAACCTCAGTTCAATTTTCAATCTGATTATAGAATTACGCATTATTAATATATCAAGTACTAGGTCAGAATAGTTGTTCAGTAATTCCTGGATTCCACTGGTTGGTTATGTAACCTAAACAATTCAACAGTCTTCATCATCAATAACAACCTTTCTTCCATAATCAGTTTGATATTGTTATTCTTTTATTGTATCTTTTTCTTTGTTTAACATAGGCTGAATTAGAAAATGCTCAACGTGATGCACGTGGTCAATCAACCGAAATTTTCCGATTAAAAGCTCAATTAGAAGAAGTTCATGAACAAATGGAAGGACTTCGTAGAGAAAATAAGAATTTGAGCGGTATGTTGATTCTTATATATTGGATAAATAACATTTCATTTAACAATATATAGAAAACTGAAGATCATCAATTACACTGATCTATACATTTCAGCTGCACAGAACAGCATAATTGAAATACTGAACAGTTGACTAACCTAAACGGAGTGAGAGTGAGAAAGAAAGGCAAAGCTCTTTAGCTTCGTTTCTGAACAAGATTTCTTTTGAGTAACAAAATTTGTATATAATCAAGTGACTAGAATAAGTAATTTGTCAATTAGTTACAAATGAATAATATGTCGGATACTCAGTTAATGGAGTCAACTGAAACTGTGTTTTCATGATTCTTCACAAAATTATACACTTTTTCTGAACAAATATATTGCTCAAAGATATATTTAATAGTTAGGCAGTGATCCCATATCTCTAGTATATCATCTCACCAATTTTGCGCCAGTAACCTATTCCTCTAGAAGATCATCTTTTTATACAAATCAGAAGTCATCCTAATAGTTCACTATTTATTAAACATTATGTAGGCAGTTTAAGATGCCATTCACAGTCCTACTGTTCTATAAATTTTGTCATAAACGTCACTCACCTATGATATTAAAAATTGATTGCATAATATCACGACTTGATTAAGATCAATAATATGAACCACATGATGCCCTCTCAGTTATTTAAATGTTAAACGATCCACATGAGACTCAAAGGTCTTGGGTTCAAACTCTGTCGGTGAGGAGGTGTGAGTTCTCACTGCTGAGGAGTTCCACACTATAAAGAAACAGCCGTTAAGTACTTTTCGCTTTTTCAGTAGTTTCCTGAATAATGTCAATTCTCTTTATAAACTGTGAAACCGAACAATCTTCACGGACCCCTTACATTTATAAAATTTATAGATGTTGTATTGTAGGGTACCAACGTAATCGCTGAATCTAAAGCCTAATTATTTCTAGTATAACCTAATTTCATTTGTGTTATTAACGAAATAACTATCATTTGATTTAATTACTAATTTCCCTTATAATTAGATGAGATTCATGATTTAACTGAACAATTGGGTGAAGGTGGACGTTCAGTACATGAAATTGATAAGAATAGACGACGACTTGAAATGGAAAAGGAGGAACTACAAGCTGCATTAGAAGAAGCTGAAAGTGCATTGGAACAAGAAGAAGCTAAGGTTCAACGTGCTCAACTTGAAATGAGTCAAGTAAGTAAAAATGTATTGCGGATGAGCAGTATTATATTCCTTATGAGATGGTGGAGAAGATTTTCAGCTGCGGTGGATGCTTTGGGTGGAGTTTTGTTTGCCGGGTTGTATGATTTGGTCAAGGAACTCTCATTGTTTTTCTGAACAAAGTCATCAGCACAAACTCGAGGTAAAATTGAAGTATTTGAATTTCTCTGCATATGACTCACACCTCGTTCTGTGGATCTCAGTGTTGATTGGATATTGTTGACCATTAGCCCGTCACTGTCTGTTTCTTTATTTTGATTGTATCTTCCATTGATCTGATTCTTAGTCCTACATTTGTCCATGATTTTTCCGATTGGCTAATGGATTCGATCGATTTCAATGTGTTTGTTGATTGCTGATTGACTTGAGTATCAAAGTTCTAAAAATTCCACTGTACTTTTAGCATTCCTTCTATCCAAGGTCTCAATATTTTCTCGGACGAACATATGTTCACAGTTGTCCACATGCATTGATATAAGCGAAGATGGAGTTTGACTGATAATTAATATTCGAGGAGGCAAATTTTGAACACTTCGCTTCCGCCTGAAGTTTGTGCTGGTGATGTTGTTCATGAAAACAATAAAAGCTCTACGACCGAACCATCCATCTCAGAGAAAAAACGCCTAAATAAGTTTATTTCTCTTTTGTAATAACTTTTCCGTTTTCATTCGAGAAAAAGGTATTACATTTTATGCTCATAGGAGGTCATTCAGGGCTTGAATACCTCAATTGTAACTTGTCAGACTGTTAATCTCATCGATAGTATGGATTAGAATCGTATATAGTGGAACATTAGTTCCGTCAACATTACTTATACGGATTTCTAATGAGATCAATAACTAGGATGGAACCTGTATCTGAACAGGGTTTCCTACTGATTTCCTCCAACTTCAAAATATGATGTCGAATTACTTAGACTAGAAGCTATAGTTCAACTTGATCGATAAAATTTGTTCATTACCAAAAAGTACTAGACAGATGTAACATTAATCATTATTCAGTTTTAACCAATCACTTATGTATGTGTACGTGTGTTTGTTGACTGTACAGACTCAACTAATTTTTCTCAGGGATCATATAGTAAAGATTAATACAGCGAATCAAAACATGACACTTTGTAGGTGATTTCCACTCTTACTTTTACTGTTCATTCAATTGTCTCATGATTACATTTGGGAATTATTTTCTTTATTTTCAAACACATCTTTTGAAATAATATTCTTGAAAGATTTTGTAGACAAGCTGTTTCTGTTGAAGAGATCCTCTTTTTCTTCTTTTTCTGATGATCAGAATCATTTTTTTATATTTTGTTATTTGTCTATTGTTAAGATTCGTCAAGAAATTGATCGACGATTAGCTGAAAAAGAAGAAGAATTTGAAGCCACACGTAAAAATCATCAACGAGCTATGGAATCACAACAAGCTAGTTTAGAAGCTGAAGCAAAGGGTAAAGCAGAAGCTATGCGTGTTAAAAAGAAACTTGAACAAGATATTAATGAATTAGAAGTTAGTTTAGATGGTGCAAATCGTGCTAGAGCTGAACAAGAGAAAAATGTGAAAAAGTTCCAACAACAAGTACGTGAATTACAATCACAATTAGAAGATGATCAACGTCAACGTGATGATTTACGTGAACAATTCCAAGCTGCTGAACGTCGTGCAACTGTATTAGCTGGTGAATTAGATGAATTACGTATAGCATTAGATCAAGCTGAACGTAGTCGTAAAATAGCTGAAGCTGAACGTGCTGAAGCATCGGATCGTGCGACAGAAATGTCTACACAAACTGCATCATTAGCTGCACAAAAACGTAAACTTGAAGCTGATTTAGCCGCCATGCAGGTAAGACTTAATAATGATATTTATTTTTAAAAAGTAAATAATTCAAGAATAACTAACATTATTGAACAATTATGAATAGATTTTATTTACGTCTGGACTCTATTCAACTGCTCTTAAGACCTAAAAAGACTATTAACAATTTGTAGAATATATTCATTATAGGATTCATCATCTAAGTTAGAATAGCATTAAAAACCAGGAAGCATAGAACAGTTAATTTATTCTAGTATATAACTCCTCAGCGATCTACAACCAGTGAAAAGTCGTGATTAGTTAAGTTCAGATATGTCAGGAGTAAGACGGATGTCACTAATAACATGCACTGGTCATTGTGCTTTATTGTAAATTGACTGAAGTTAAAATTCTAACACTGAAGACTGATTAAAAGGATTCTAATACTTACGTTATCACCGTGAGATTTGAAGGTTAAGGGTTCGACCACGGTCGGAATCATAGGTGAACACTCCTGATACGTTTCAAACTAGAACGAAACAAATTATCATTAATATGTGGTTTATAATAATATCCTAACTGAGATCAATCTGTGGCAGGTAAAAATTATAAAAGTAAACCAGTTTTCACAAAACTCTTTCAACAAAATACTTGATTGAACTGAATTATAAAAATTTCCTAAAGGTTCAATACTTGTAGTGTATGCCACTTATGTTGATAGATATAAGTAGTGTAGCATCATTCGGAAGTAGAATGCCTGCGACCCAAAGATTGGGAAGAAGTAAGTTGAAGAGAAGAGAGAAAAAAATTAAAAGAAATCAAAATAACAACAGGAATAAAAGAACGATGTAGTTTCCAAGAGACAACTGATGGAAGATATGCAAATGATGTATTTAATGCATGGTTTTCATAGTTTACAAACGCCCTGTGGTTTTGCATTAAACAATAAATTAATCTTCCCTACCTGAGTTCTTTGTTCACTTACATTCTTATATGTTAACCAATGCAAAAATTCTGAATTGTCTTTTACACACTTCATCATTCTTCCAATCCTGCGGTTGTTCCGATCGCTCTTCGTTTTCTTCCCTCTCCTGTTTATTTCAATCTTCCGCTCGTAAGCATTTTATTTCCACTTACTGTTACTTATATCTGACCCAGGAGAAAATCATTAAGATGAGAAGTAGAGAGAAGAACGAATGAAATGATTTTCATATTAAGAATGAAGTGCAAATAGAACATACTAGGTCAAAGAATAAAAATTAACTCAAGATTTATTAGATGATAAGGAATTAGTGCAATTGACTCAAACCAACAAGTAACTTTAGGTCTTATAACACAACTATTGATTAAAGTGGCTGTTATACGTATTCCATTAAAGGAAGTCAACATATATAATCACCGTTCAAAGATCAACTGTCAATAGCTTCCTAAATTGATATTATTTGTTCGGTCCGTAAATCTCTAGCTTTCATTCAACCTACTTTTACATACCAGCTAGCATTAAATGTCAATATGAGGGATGACGGAAAAAGGGGCAATATATATTAGTTTCATGTTATTAACACTAATAACTTCACCCGAATACACTTTAATCTTACTTACTTACGCCTGTTACCCTCGTCGATGAGCATAGGCCGCTCACCAGCATTCTCCATCCGACTCTGTCCTGAGCCTTCCTTTCCAGTTCTTTCCAGTTGCTATTCATCGTTTTCATATCTGCTTCTATTTCCCGGTGTAATGTATTCTTTGGCCTTCCTCTTTTCCACTTCCCTTCCGGATTCCAAGTTAGGGATTGAGTCGTGATGCACATTGGTGATTTCCTTAATGTATGTCCGATCCACTTCCAATGTCTTTTCCTAATTTCCTCTTCAGCTGGAAGAGGAAGTGTTAGACCACCGTTGGAAACCTAGAAGCGATGAACGGCCGTTTCGTCCTCAACAGTGCGTACCGACTATCCTGCACATGAGACTCGAATCCAGACACTTGCTCACAAATGCTTAATTTATACATTACTAAACTAGCATCCAACAGTGTTAATGTCCAACTGCAATCAATCCACGATATATTGTGCTATCATTTTATTCAGTTAGTAACTGTATCCCACCTAAATCTGCATTAAATCCCCTCTTAAATTATCTTATTTTTCATCATATTGTTATTGCTTTCTTCATTAGGCTGATTTAGAAGAAGCCGCCAATGAAGCTAAGCAAGCTGATGAACGAGCTAAAAAAGCTATGGCTGATAGCGCACGTGTATTCGAAGAAATTCGTCAAGAACAAGAACATACACAACATGTTGAAAAAGCTAGAAAACAACTTGAAATACAAGTAAACAAAACTATTTAATATATTTTGTTGTTGTTTTTTGAGAATTTTATACTAAAATAAGGATAGAATAGTTATTTGGCATAGTCTCATTATTAAAGTATAAGATTTATGCATAAAATGGTGGCTGGAGGTGGTCAACAGGAAACCCTGGACCCGGATTTCGTGCTACTTGGCACTCGTCAGCAAATTGTACCTGTAATCTTGAGGGAACTGGCACTCCCTGACGGATTTGATCCCGTGTCTCTCATCTTCACAGTCAGAGATGTTACCACTGAACTATTCTGGCCGCGACCGACCTCCTGTAGGACTAAGATGTAATCACAATTAATTGATCACTGGGTGGTGATCAATGTCATGAGTGTCAAGTCCTTCTTAGTGCTGATCGAATGCATTCTGTGCCGAATTATTTTTATCTGTTAAAGTTTTATAGGATTTTTGAACTTCGTCTCATCAGTGGAATTGAAGACTTGTGTTTCATTCATGTTTTTTAAACCATGCAAGCTGGATATACTTTTATCCTAGTGTTGATGTTCACATTGGGACTCAAGTTCGATAACCTTTGCTTCAAACACTAACACATTATACATTGACTAGCTGAGTTAGATAGACGCTAATGTTTTGAAAGGATACGATGTTTATTTTATAGAAGTTTATATTGTGCCGTTGTCAATATTTGTAATCTAAATTACTCTTTCAATGTAACAGTATCAATATTAATTCCATTTGAATTATTCAACTGATTTTTTTCTTCATTCATTAAGGTAAAAGAACTCATGGCTCGTTTAGAAGACAGCGAATCAGGTGCCATGAAAAATGGTCGTAAAGCAATGGGTAAATTAGAACAACGTGTACGTGAATTAGAAACAGAATTGGAAGCGGAACAACGTAGACATGGTGAAACACAAAAGAATTTAAGAAAAGTTGATCGACGAATGAAAGAGATTAGTTTACAAGTAAGTTTTTAGTAAAGCAAAGAAACATTGTGTATTTATCTACTTTATGAAGATGAAGTAATTTATGATGTGAGTAAGATGAGAGTGAAGATAATTGTTACTACAGAATGACTTGAATTCAACCAAGTTAGCAATGTGAAGCATTAGATACTGACTGAATGGTCTGTTGTTAAAGGTCTCTCCACGAGTCTTATTGGTTCTAGCTTCGATCCCCAATTATGGGATCGTGGATTTACATACAACTGAGAAGTCGTACACAACGACCTAATGGCTATTCAAGTTTTCAATGATTGTCTAACTAAAGTCAATTCATGGTGTAAACGATAGAAAAAAAAGAATCAAATAGTTGGAAAGATTGTTTCAAATCGAAAATTAAAAATTATTCACATAATGTATATAATTGTGCTTTTTTATGTTTCTAGGCTGAAGAAGACAAAAAGAGTCATGATCGTATGCAAGAATTAGTTGAAAAGCTTCAAGGTAAAATTAAAACATACAAAAGACAAGTTGAAGAAGCTGAAGAGATTGCTGCTATCAATTTGGCTAAATATCGTAAAATACAACATGAAATTGAAGATGCTGAAGAACGTGCTGATCAAGCAGAACAAGCATTACAAAAACTTCGAGCTAAAAATAGATCATCGGTATCAACAGCACGTGGTGTAAGCGCTGCACCAGCTGGGGGGCCTGGACATGCAGTAAGTTTTTTTTTAATATTCTCTACAATCATTGTCTGATGAATTATTCTTCCCTGGTAAGGTCAACCGCTTCACTTACGTCAAAATATCTTATCTGCTCTAGATTTAGAAAGCTCGGCTGCCTATGCATCATAGGCGATGTCTTTTTGCCAACGAAGGAACGCTTATACTTCACAGCATTTCTTTCTTCTATACTCAATGACTGAGTTATTTGGCCTTTAAAAATATGGGGTATTTATTCGCAGGTTAAAAACATTCGACCATAGAAGCCTTCAATGGACGAAGTTTTTTAGTTCAAGAGTGGGTTGAAAGAAGTCCAGGAATGAACAAATGACAACATCTCATCTGTTCACGATGTCAGTAACTATTAGTTTAAACCATCTAGGAAGGGTTTAGGGTATTTGTTGAAACTGACGTAATAACCGTGATCGGTTGTTATAAACATAAGATGAAACATTTTATTGTAGAAATTGACATTCTAACTAATCATTATTAGCAACTTTAAAAATTGAGATGTGATTGTGTAGCTGAAGTTTCGATTAAATTTTTTGGGATTGTAATTGATCAGTCTCTTGTTGGCAGATATGCGTCCTATGCGGATTACTTTGATATTGCCTTGAGTCACGAGCTTTATAAGGAAATATTGATGGTGGAATCCAGGACGCGCTTTTGTCCCATCCATGACTTGTCAGCTGGATGTACTCACATCGCAGAGTTGATGTTCATTCCGGGACTCGAACCCAGTACTGTTCATTTCAATCTCCATCGCATTATCTACTAAGTTACTGAGTGTTTTCTTCCGTATTTTCATTTATCAAACTAATCTAAATAAGTATTATGAATATTATTGCTTGAATTTTTCCTTTATTACTTTTCCTCTTAACTATTTTCCCACAGAATCGTGCTCGTAAACCAACAGCCAGTTTAGCACCAGAAGAAGAGTAAATCATATAATTAACAATTGAATTGCTATTAACCAATAATGAACTGTATTCCAAGAAGAATAACATCACTGCAAATGCTTTCTATCAAACTGTTCATTATTATTTTACATTTTTTTTTTGGCAAAACCCTTCAAACCCCAGTTCGTTTACATTTTTCAGCTTCATATTTAGTTTTTAGATCAATTGTATTCAGTACATACTTATTTTTTGTGCATTTTACTCTTTCTATATATATATATATATATATATATATATATATATATATATATATGTATATATATATATTTGTATGAGTAGTATACGTGTGTATGTATGCATGTTTGTGAAGTTTTAGTGAACAACAACTAAAGAATACAGATATAACATTAATAATAATGACTATAGTAACAGATACACATTCACAATCATGTATACCTACCTTTCCCTTGGTTATACACCTGTTGTCTTACCTATCAACCTACCTTCCTTCCTACACCTCAGTTCACCTATACACCTATACACCCGTCACCTTCAATACTTAAGATCATTAGTGAAGGTTGTTTTGAATAATATTCAGCGGTAGTGTTTCTTTTTTAAAGAAAAAAACATCCGTTTTAGATGAGCTTCTTTTTCCCTTTTCAAAAATCATTCAAATATTGTTTAGGCTCATCTAAATTTCACTTTGTTGTTGTTGGTTTTTCGTTGGTTTCGTACAAACCAGTTTTGTGTTATTAATTGTTTGCTGATATATATATATATAAATAAAGAAGTAAATCATCATATATATATATATATGTATGTAAACAATAGACATCAAATCGTCATTGGTTCCTATCTTCTAGCAACTAATGCACCAAATTCACCAGGTTCCATACAAACACACACTTATATATACATATACACTTATCTATAAACACTTACATTCATCCAGAACATGGTATTTAGTGTCATTTGAACAATTAAAAAGGAAAGAAAAGAAAGGTAAACTCCATAATCATAATATGCCATTACTTTAATTGTTTATCTAAACTTTCTTATCAATAAATTATGCACCATATGCGTTAAATAAATCAAGTTGGAAAAAAGGAAAAAAAAATAATATCTATATCTATGATATACATTTACCATACATATACAAGTACTGTATTCTTCTACTTTCCTGTTGTTTCGTTCTTCTATTCTTCTCTTCTTTCGAATTTTCTTAGTATTCTTTAATCTTTGTGCTTTTCTCTATTATATAAATGATGATTGTAGTGTAAGTTGGAAGTACTCTTTTTGCTTAAACACACACACACACACAAACAAACACATACTCTCTCTCTATGTCTCTATGTATTATTCATGAAAAGTAATATTGTTTATTCACTGAAATTGTTTCTCATCTTACCTATTATCATTATTATTAATACTACTATTACTATTATTATTATTATTATTACTATTAATAATCATTTATTATTACTATTACCTAGTTTACAAGTTTACTTACATTGGAATACAAAAAAAAGTAATTTCATCTCCCTTGAGAATGCTAATAATTGAAATGAGCAATAAATTCACTCATTCTATATGTTTGTTAAATAGTCTTTGACTTTTTGTTATTTAATAGGTTAACCGTCAAATGGGAATAATCATTTATATAACGTAATAATAGTGAGACCCAAGACATTGACACCGTTGGATACCGGTTCAGTGGTCTATCAGTTAAGTGCTCTGGCATGAGACTGGTAGGTCATGGGTTCGAATCTCGCGAGTGCGTGATCGTGAATGCGCACTGATGAGGAGTCTCATAATAGGACGAAACGGTCATCCAGTGCTTCCAGGTTTTCCATGGTGGTCTAGCTTCAATTGACTCATGGTCTCAACTTTATAGAATTACTAAAATATCCACCAAACGCCTTCTAATATTTGTGTTTGTGGAATTCCTGTAGGATTATGGTATCGTATTTCATAATGAATAAAGAAAAAAGATTTGTTTAGAGATGAGGATAAGTGATTCTTCAAACGACCGCATTATTTTAAAGTAGCCATTCTACTAATCGGTAGAGTTTATATAAATCAAAAGTATCTCACCAGTGAAGTCGTGTAACCTACTACAGTTTAGTAGGTTTTAGGAAATTTATTAATTTGTCAAAGTTTGTTATCCATTTTTCTATATTAATCTTATTGAAATATCGTTACATTATATCAATAATATACGTAATAAATAATTCAACTTGATGATTTCGTTCTGAATCTTCTTTATCACCAATGATAGTTTCATAGAGAATTCATTCTTATTTACAAAATCTTTGTTAATAAATTCATTGAAGAAGTACTAGAATAGTTCACATTCATAGAAGAACTATTTTCTTCACTTGCCAATTTCAATATAGAGACTTGATGATCACTAATTCATATATTATTCACTAAACCGCTGGTAAACTAATTTAGTTACAAAAAGTACTATAAACAAAATAAGCTGAATAAAAACTGACTGATGACAAAACGAATTTTTCCTAACAATTGTAAATATTCCGACAACTAATATAAGGGTATTTATATTTTGTATTTTATACCGTTAGATGCCGGCTCAGTGGTTTAGAGGTTAAACATTCGCGCCAACGGGATTGTAGATGCGCAATGTTGAGGAGTCCCATACTAGGACGAATTGGCCGTCTAGTGTTTGTTCCAGGTTTCCCAAAGTGATCTAGCTTTAATCGACTCATGAATTTAACTAATAAATAAAATTCCTTCATTTTTGAATTCACTTAGTATTGATTGTTTGAATCTTCCCATTGATGTTTGGGACTGCAACTGATCAGTCTCTTATTGGCAATATGTGACTATCAGGACTCAGTAGATGGGTGGATAACGCGATGGCGTTTAAAGCGAAAGAAACTGGGTTCGAGTGAACATCAACTCTGAGATGCAGGTTCATCCAGTTGAAGATTCCCAAATAGGACGAAACGCGTGTCAAACTGGATTCCACTGCTAGCCACTATCCATCTTTGCTTCCTTCATTTCAGTTTTGAATTAATGCGCATAAACTCCAAAGTAGTTTATTTTCGATTTGAATTATCTCGCGTTTATATCACAAGTATTTGTATCGTATATGATTGTGTATTGTTGAGAAGTTAAAAAAAAATATGACATAACAATTTTTATGATTGCTCAACCCAATTTCTCAATGATTCTTTAAACTGACAACAATTCATAATAAGAATTTCCTGTACACTGAATGTTATGCTCATGTAAAGGATGAGGCAGAAAATATCACTTGCAATTAGTGACAATACCTTTTTTTTAGTTTTATATCAAACAAATAGAAGTATACGATTTCTTAAATGATTGACAGAGTGAAGTATCTTCAAATGTATTCTCTTCAACGACTGTTATAATAGAAAAGAAAAGAGGTCTTTTTATATAAATGAAAAAAGAAATAACAACTCAAGTAACTTGTTTTTATACAGTAGTTTCGATAATCTTGGAAAATGCCTCCACATGCCCTGGTACAGCCAAGAGTAGGGAGAGTCCGCTCTCCCCCTCCGAATGCTCCCACATGGCCACGCATATGTAGCCTCTGCAAGGGAAGTCCTACTCACTGCCTTCTCGTGCCAGCAGTTTTGTTTACGAAATTGGGAGGACGGAAAGGGAATGTCCGGTGCTTTAACCGGGTTGGTAGACACGGTAAGTCCACCTAGGGGAGTTGGAAAATCCTGATTCCAAACCAATGGTGCACATGGGTTCCAGTATCCTGAGGGAACAAATGGTGTATGAATCAATCGTTGGTGACCGGCTATCATGGGATTACATATCCTCACGATGTTTCACTGCCATGTGGATCAGACCTTTAGGTGAAAGGCTACGGTTGTGGCCCTCTAAGAAAACCACCTGCTTGAGTTTGGGCACCTGGGTAGTATCACAGCCCTCACACAAATCAAATAAGATTTGTGTGGCGCATATATATCTGGTGCCCCCTTGTACCAATATTTATGTGTTTAAATAAATAAATAAATAATCTTGGAAAATATGACACAACATAGAGTAAACAATCAGAAAATATGTAAACCCAGCATATGCATTAGAGGTTTGGGGATTGTTGAGTCTTGATTGTCGTGAAATTTCTTACATTTCCGAACCACAGTCATGAAACAAAGGGAATAAATGTGGATAATTTGAAGCAATTAGTCCCTTTGATAAATTTCGATAATGTAATAAGACGAAGATTATCAGAACTACGTGATGAGATATTAGCGCAATACATTTCGAACATTCTGATCACACATATAATATACTTGTTAAGAACATTTATACATATAAAAAATAAAAGGTCAACTAGACTGGAAACAGGGGGGTAAGAGGAGACAAGGACAATAATAATAAAAATAATGTGAAAACAATTTGAAACCCAATCATTCTGGATAATAAGCTAATATTACCAGGGTAGGTTTAAGGTAAGCACCAATTGTTTTTGAATACACAAAGGGGGTTTGAATTTTCGTATGGTAAAGGCTTCAATAAACCTTAGTATACAACACCACAAAAGCCGAGTTTAGATCAATCTTATGGCCTGTTTCGATTATATGTTTAGCAATAGAAGATGATAGATGTTTATCCTCTACTCTTATCGCGACATTGAATTCTATCTGTTTCTGCAACCATTTTGGTACATGTTCACATACCCTAATATTCAGATCACGATTGCTCCTACCTATGTATGTGTGACCACACACATACATTTAAATTGGTAAACGTAGTGGGTTGTGACACAATCGTTTTCATGTCTTTTAGGTTTTGTATGAAACATGGACCTGCACAATACGTTGATGACTGATTTAAGACTTTGTTTCAATAAAAGGTTATTTGGATCACCTCTAAGTGGTAAGGTGATGTAGACAGGCTTTTTTTGCGCCAAGGCTACAGTAGATTTCATTGTACCACGGGCTTTTCATTTATTTATAAGTTCTTAGCAGAAAATCAAACTGATAATTGTGCTCACTAAACCTAATTTTCAAAATATTTCAGAAGATAGAATCCTTTGACAATTCTAAATATTTAATCAAACTAATGAAATTATAAATACTTGATCAAAAATGTATATGAAAGTCACAAAACTATCAGTACGATTTTGACACGTTTTCATTGCGTTAACGGTGATCAACTTGACCAACAATGGTGTTCAACTGTTGATCATCGTTAGGAAACTTTAGAAAAAGTTTGTCTATTCATAAGTGCTTGAATTTTGCCATTGTTGATATTAAAGTCAGAAATTTTGATCAGTCTCTCTTAATAGATATGCATCATGATATAATTTCCTCGATAATATACACCCTATTACAAGCTTCATAGTAAATAGATGGTGTGTAGCCAGCAACAGGATCTAGGACACGTGTTTCGTCATATTTAAGACTCGTCAGCTGAGTGTACATGTCACATCCCAATTTTGATCTTCATACAGGGACCTAGAAAGAATACCTTGTGCTTCCAGTGCACAACACGTTATCCACTGAGCTGCTGATTCCACATAGCCATAAGCTTATTTATATACACTAGGATACATGTACATCCAGCTGACTAATTTGAAATAGGAATAAACTCACGAACTGGATCTCACTGCTAACCACTATTGATCTGTACTTGAAAAATATTTTAAAAATTCGTTTCCACAGTTTTACTGAAAGTTCATTCCCTAAAGATAATGTTCCTGAAAATGTTACCGCTGTGGTAGTCAGACATATGTTTGTGTGTATTGCAACAATTGAAAAAACATGCTCTTACTATATACTTATTTTATTGAAATCATGAACCAATCTAAGCTAAACCAGCATTGAAAGCCTAAAAGCAGTGAACGGTTGTTTCGTTCCAGTGTGGGACTCCTCAACATACATTTATTGTTAAACTTGATACAAAATAAAAGTGTTCTTTTTTGCTTGATTGGAGCTAATTTTATAACTATAAGTATGCTCTTGTACCCTAAAACACCAACACATTGGTTTTAGTGACCAAGTATCTACTGATAGATATGAAATTCATGGGTTTGATCCTAAGTGGAGTCGTGAATACGGAATGTTAGTGAGTACTTTACAAAAAAGAAATAATCATTCAATCTTCTTTGGTCTCTAATTCTATCTCAACTGATATCAACGTGTAAAAAATACAGTTTACAAGATAATTAATTTCTTATCACTACTGAATAGAATTGATATGTAATCATTCAGGAAACACTTACTTATTTACTTACGCATGTTACATCTCATGAAGGAGCATAAGCCGCTTACCAGTATTCTCTGTCCACCTCTATCCTGATCCGTCCTTCCCTGAAGTTTCCAGTTACTATGATTCCTTTTCATGCCTGTTTCTAATTCACAACTCCATATGGTTTTCGACCTTCCTCTTTTATCGTTTCCTCTAAGAATTCCATATCACCCCTTACCTCATGATGGTAATACATCTAATACCCATACAAAATTACATGTAACCACATTTTTGTATTAGAAGGGAGTTTTTGTGGAGATTTCAGTAATTTTATAATTGAAATCATGAGTCAATTAAAGCTAGATCGCCATGAAAAACTAGGAAAACCAGAACGAAACAGCTATTCAGTGCTTTCAGGTTTTCCATGAACGTCTAGCTTCAAATAACTCATGATTTCATATATTTTTGTAACCTATTAAATATTATTCATGTAATTAATGATCATTTTATATATAGTTGAAATCATTAGTCAATTGAAGCTAGACCACCGTGGGAAACCTGAAAACACTAGATTGCCGTTTCATCCTATTGTGGGATTCCTCAGTGGCAGTGCGCATCCACGATCCCGCCTCACGAGATTCGAACCTAGGACTTACCTGTCTCGAGCCAGAGCACTGAGCCGGCTGGAATCCAACTGTGTTAATGTCTAACTTCAACCAAACCGCGAAGTTGAGCAACCATTTCATCAATGTCTTCATTGAGTTAATATCTCCTAACAGACCTGGTTGAACACCACTGGTTAATGCTTCTCACTAGAACTTCAGGAAATACCTCATGGAGCCAGTTACTAGTGAACACAATAATGGCCGTCCAATGCTACCAAGTTTTTCATGATGGTCTAGCTTCAATTGACTTATGATTTCAACTATATAGAAAAAATTACTGAAATTTTCCACAAAATACCCCCCCCCCTAATTAATAATCACTCTGGACAAAATTAATCAATAACACACACATGCACACACACAAAGGTTCAATTTAATCAATATTGACTATCACTCATATTGATCATAATTTAGATAAAAATGTTCAATCAATCAATCAATAAAATTAAGATAACGTACTTCATTAATCAATGAATATCCATCTATAATAAACTGATTATTTAAATAGGATTCTACTATTTTAAAATATTCCAGAAGAAAAATCATATTTATATTGTATAACAATAGCAAAAGTTGTTCATTATTGAAACTGTATTTCAAATCAGTGGTCAAACACAATGTCTTCTAGAAGGAAACGCCTTCTAGAAGGTAATACTAATACTACTACTACTACTACTACTAATAGTAGTAGTAGTAGTAAATATTTACAAAATAATGAAATTGAATCTATAAACTATTATCATTTAACAAATAATTTGTTTATTATTTTATTAGGAGTATTATTAATTATGATTCTTATATTATTACTTATTTATTACATATATCGTCGATTACGCAATCATTCACATCTATTAAATAATCAATTAAAGACTAACAACAGTAATGATGATGAATATGTTTGTTTTACAAAATCAGTCAAATATCCACTGACTCAATATAATACACAAAATCAAACAACAGAATTATCATTGAAATCGATAAATATACCATTACAATCATATCATAAATCAAATGATCCTATCCCTAATTATACAGATAATGATGGCGGCGGTAAAGATAATGATGATGAGGAGGATGAAGATGATGATGACGATTTTAATCGTGATTTCAATGAATGTAAACCAATTTCTAATTATTCAAAACAATATCAAACAAATTATATTAAATCAAATGTAATACAATCTACTCAACAATATATTGAAGTAAGTAAACATTATTATATTAGAAATTCCTGATGAGACTATAATTGATGGACGAAACAATCAGATATCAGATAATAAGTCTTGTAATTCATTCATCGAATCAGTTAAAGAACATTTTGAGATTTTGATTGATATCAGTTTGTGATGAAAAGTTTAAATCTTATTCTTAACCCTAATTATCAACTGTAAATCATAATCTTTATTCTTCACACAAGGTTATAACTCTCATTTAATCGTTAGAGGTAGGTGGACATTCTTAAAACTACTTTAATGTTACTCAAAGGTCGTTCATAAATTATAGTCTCACCGAAATAATCAATTCTCATATTTCATGTAATAGAAAGTATTATTAAGAGAGAGACTTACCTACTTACTTACTTTCGCCTGTTACTCCCAATGGAGCATAGGCCACCGATCAGCATTCTCCAACCCACTCTGTCCTGGGCCTTCTTTTCTCGTTCTATCCAGTTCTTGTTCATTCTTCTCATGTCTGTCTCTATTTCTCGGCGTAATGTGTTTTTTGGTCTTCCTCTTCTCCTTTGACCTTCAGGATTCCATGTGAGGGTTTGTCTTGTGACGCAATCGAGTGATTTCATTAAGAGAGAGAGGAAGTATCAATTCTTGATCATGGGAAACAAAAGAACTTGAAAGCGTCTTAAATAGTCTACAAATGTTAAATAAATATGAAACACTATTATTGTTGACTAGTATCATAGCCAACATTCATGATTAAAGATGGTGATTTTTGATTTAATAATAAAAAATGATAGTAAAACGCCATTCATAGGTGCTTTTTACAGACATGAAGTTGTTTTGTTTTGCGTTTTACTTGGATATTTAAATTGTTTATTAATATATATGATATATGTGGTAAGAATAGAAGGCCTATGGCCTGTATTATTCATTCCCTAGTAAGTATCTAGTCTTCTCTTGAATGAGTCAGTTGAAAGGTGCGGACACCACTGCTTCTGGTAACAAGTTTCAAGAATTGATTACTTGATTTGAAAATCTGTATGCCATGGGTATTTTGTTTGTTCTTGGCTTATCTACTCGCCTGCTATATCCTTTCTTAATATTCTATACATCAAAATCAGATCACCTCTTAATCTGTGGTAGGACAGAGTAAAGAGGTCTAACTTTTCAAGTCCCTTTTATTATGATAAACCACAGAGTTCTGGGATTGCACGGGTAGCTGCTCTCTATACTTTTTCCAAAATATCCGAGTCACTTTTTAAACAGGGACTTGCAACCTGAACACAATTTTCAAGCTTAGTTCTCACTGAGGTTGTTTATACTGTTGTGAACATAGTAGTATCTAACTTTTTTAAATATCCGTCTTAAAGCCTATATAGTTCTAAACCCCTAGTTACAACCTCACAACAGTGGGCCGTGGTCTTGAGATCATGACTCACTATCACTCCAAGATAATTGTGAGACCGGACCACGGATACGAGCACTTCCCTTATACTGTACTTATTTACCTTTGAAGACTAGCTTTGTGATTGAAAATACTGATTACACAATTTAAGATAAATTGTGTTTTTGTGGTGAGACGACATTATTCTGTTTGATTTAAGTGGCTTATTTCAATGTATGTTCAACATTTAGTAATAAGCATAGTAGAGTTTATTATTTTAATGAAGTATTTTATTGGTAGCTCATTAATTTCATAGTTGAAAGCATTAGTCAGTTGAAGCTAGACCAGCAAGGAATACCTGGAAGCACTGGACTGCCGTTTCGTGCTATTGTGGGACTCCTCAGCAGTGCACATCCACGACCTAGTCTCGCGGGATTTCTTGGTGGTCTAGCTTCAACTGACTCATGCTTTCAACTATGAAAAGACTAAATCTCCACCAAAAAACCCCTTCTCATTAATTTCAGTGAAATTTTCAACTTTCAATGAAATAAATGAACTTGATTAATATCATTTTCATCATTAAGTTATACCAATTAAATAACAGTTAAAAAACCGGGTGAAACTAGATATCTTTTTAATTCTATTCCGAAATTATTCATCAGTGTTCACTCTCTAACTGATAAAGAATTAAATCTACAATCTTTAGAATATATGATAAGAACGATGGAGCCAAGTTACTGAGATGGAATCGGCAAAGAATTACATATTGGTGAGTAATGGTAAAGTTAACCAAAACAACTGTCTAGTGCCATTTAGTTCATAATAGTTCTCCAGTAAACCCATCTTTACAATGAGAATTACTCAAAAACTATGCAAAATCTTTTCAATATCAACTTCATCTACAACATTGTTTTACTATTATTGAGTAACATGAAAATCGGCATTTTAAAAATTGTGTTTGCCTTATTGAAATTAGTTGAAATCAAATACTGTTAAACATATGTCATTACTCGATTCATAATGCATTAGTATTTTGCATTTGTTAGGACTTTCACACTTGATCACTGATACTATAAAATTTTTAGATGCACAGATTATATTTATATCATGTGTTAAACAAATTTATTGATTATGATCATAATCAAGAAGTCGAAGGTTAGAAGTTTCGCAGTCATGTTTGACAGATAAGATTTTGATTCTTGAAACAATCACAAGTATCGTTGAATTCTTATATAAAGTTTTGCTGAATCTTGAAGTTTGACAGAAACGATCACTCTTGATATGGAAGTGATTATGAATAAAGTGATGAAATCTATCATAAATATTAGTCGGTATTTTTTAAATCTTGTAATCCAATGTTGGACTTCGCAGATGACATGATCTTTCCATACCATGCACATCAACAAATGCAGATGAAGACAACTAGTGTAGCAGAAACCTCGGCATTAGTAGGCCTCAACATGCACAAGGGAAAAACCGAAATCTTTAGATACAACACGGAGAACACCAACCCAATCACAATTGATGGCGAAACTCTGGAAGAGATGGAAACTTTCACGCATTTTGGAAGTACTATAATTAAACAAGGAGGATTCGACGGAGACGTAAAGGCATGGATTGGCAATATACAGGCAGCATTCCTACAGTTGAAAGATATATGGAACTCAAAACAACTGTCAGCCAACATCAAAGTTAGAATTTTCAATACGAACGTCAAGACAGTTCTACTATACGGACCTTGGAATTCGAGAACTATCACGACCATAATCGAAAATATACAAGTATTTATAAACAATTGTCCACTCAAGGTACTTAATATCCGTTGTCCGGATACCACCAGCAGCAGTTTACTATGAGAGAGCAAACCGACTTCCAGCTGAACAGGAAATTAGGAAAATACGTTACAAATGGATAGGAAATACATTACGGAAATCATCAAATTGAATCACGACTCAAGTGCTAATACGGAATCCTGATGGGAAACGAAGAAGAAGAAGACTGAAGAGCACGCTGAGTCAAGAACTAGAAGCAGACATGAAAAGAATGAGTAACAACTGGAAAAGGATTGGCCAGGAAAGGGTTGGATGGAGAATGCTTATGGGAGGCCTATGCTCCTCTGCAAGGGGTAACAGGCGTAAGTAAATAAGTAATGTTGACAACAGTTTGACTGGAAATGAACAATTCTCACTATATCATGCAATGATTGAATATGAAAACATTAATGAATGATAATGAAAACTGACATAGTTCATGACAGATTTGATGTTATCATGATAGAGTTTCACTGTTATTCTATATCACGGGCTAATGTTGTTTAGAAAATCATTACGACATTTCGGAAACACTAAACAGTTATTTTATTCTAGTATGCGACTAATCTATCAACTAACCATTCAGTTTAGTTGACGTATTTATTTTAGAACTCATGTATTGGAAAAGTCGTTTTAGCCATACAATTGAATAGTTGTCTTAAAACACACTAGTGAATGAATGATTTATTCTACTCACTAACGTCAACAAGATAAAAATAAACAGTTTGTTGTCATAAGAAAGAAAATCAACTATTCGAAATCCTAATAAGAGATAAGAAGTAAATTATCATTCTCTTCTATAATATTAATTACAGTGCATTTTAAATAAATCATTCAAATATGGCGTGTACTACTGATGTCTACGGATATAAGTAGTATGTGTCATCAATCGAAAGTAAAATACCCGGCAAAAGAAGGTTAAGAAGATCGAAAAGGAGAGAACAAGAACATGGAGTGATTGATTTGGAAACGAAGGGACAGTGAAGTCTGAGACGATTGATTGTTATTTTACAAATGAAGTATTTACTGTATGGTTCTTAGATTTAATAAGTGGTCCAAATACATTTGATGTCCCGCTGGTGTTCTTGTTTACTACAAACTTACTTATTTAGAAAGCCAAATACTTTAATACAATTTAGACGTTAAATTATTATTATTATTATTATTATCATTATTATTATTAGGCCTATTCAGTATCATATTTTTGGTACCACATAGAATTCTTCGTACGAAGTATTTCAATAAGTTTCATTTTCTTATTCCTTGATCAATCCTGACAATAAATATTGATTGATCGCCAATTAGATTTAAGCAAATCAAGAATCGACATCTTGATAATGTCCATTCATTTCGATGGATATTGCCAGCCATCACGATGTCTCTGATTAAACTCTTTTGTAACTTGTACAGCGAAATGTCGTGAAGTTTTTACAAATGCACCTGAATAGGCTATGAAGCTAATAGGCATAATAATATGTTAAAACAAACAAGAAAACAGATGAGTTATTGAAATATTTAGATGATAGGAACAGAAAGCCCAGATATTCAAACAGGCCGCATATATTTAAATTTGATAACCATGCGATTCTTGTGAAACATCCCATTTGAAGGTCAATGAACACCCTCAACATGTCTCGGTTATTTTTACGTAGAAAGGAAATCAAAGATACATTATATTAATGTACAAGACATACCTATAAATGAATGAGTTATCTTAATACGTGACTGTGATAATTAATTTTTAAAATAGTTTGAATATTATTTTTAATTGTGAATGTATTTTAATTGATGGCAAACTTCATGAATAGTAAGTTGACTTGTCACTACTGAATTACTGATAGTAACGGAGAAAATTGTTTAAACCAATTGTACTAACCTATCAAGTTCATTGCAAATTTAACGATGTATGTTCTCACTTTTATCAATGGTATTTATATTTGATAGTTATCTTTTTTTGATGAAGTTTTGTTTTATGACCTGGATGGTTTGATCGTGTAGCTTTCATTGTCATTTTGAACGACATCATTTGAAGTTTGTGCTGCTGCTGATGATTGTGTTCAGAATAACAATAAAAGCTCTACAACCAAACCATCCAGCTTAGAGAATAAAACTTCATAAAAATCATCTACCTGAACTACAAATCTTCTCCACCATCTCTATATCTATCTCTTTTTAATATATACATTTCTTACTTTACTATTAACATTTTAGTCGGCTGAATTAAAAAGAAGAAAGGAAAATTATCTTAAATCAATAAATGATCAAGAAAAATCAGAAACACGTTTAATAGTTGAAAACAACCGTAAAGCTATTCGTCGTGTAAGTAGTACACCAAATATATCGGTAAGTGATTACATTAGTACATTAGGGGGGGGGATGATATTTTATTTATTTTTATTTATTTAACATACGGTATATTTTATTTGTAAAATTCCCCTTTAACACAATTATTTTTTTAATATAGGGTCATGGAATTTGTTGAATTTTATTGAGATCACGAATTGATCTAATTTAGATAGCCACTGAAAATATGCAAGCACTAGACAACCGTTTCGTCCTAGTATATGAATGATCAGTAGTCTAAATTAGATTAATTAGTGATCTTAAAAAAAAAAGACTATTTCATTGAGATTGTTTGTAAAGTCACCTGTTAATAGTCGTCTACTTAGTGAATTATTAGATTCTAAATATTAACTATATCACAGCTGAATATCTTATCAATGCTGAATGAAAGAAATATAACTGTTCATTATTCATTTAAATTTAAATTATTGACTAAGTACAAATGATTTTGATTCAACTGGCTAGAATTGTAGACCCGTTAACTATGAAAAATACTAACTAATACTATTGATACAGTCAGTCAGTCAGTCAGCTACAACGTAGGACCAGGTACATATATGCATCCGTCCAAGTTGCCATACCTCGTTAGCACAACTAGATGAACACCGGATTCATAGAAATAGTTAATTTAGTGGTGGTTATATATGAAAGAAAAGTTGTATATAAGGACATAGTACAGGAAGAAAGATATGAAGCCATTTTAATCTCATGGTTTAAGGGAAGATAAAGAGTGTATATACCTACGCCATTGTGATCGATTCTGAGCCATGTCACCTAGAGTCTCCAACCATTGGTTACGATAGTCACGCGGACTCCGTCCAATTAGTCTGCATTTACTAACATGACTCAGACTAGAAGTTAGTTACTTCAATTACTGATGCCACGTTTTGGTTTGGCCGCCCCTAACTCTTTTCTAACCATCCCCTAAACTAGTCAGCATAGCGCGTCGTGGTAATTGGTGTTCAGGCATATGTAACACGTCTCCCAACGATCTCAATAGATGAAGATTCATCACCTCATCAACTGTTTTACCATCATTCCCTAATACCCTACGTTTAACCTCACTATTACTGACCCTGTGATCCCAGCAGATGCGAGCAATATTTCTAAGGCATCTGTGGTCAAATACTAGTAACTTACAAGTTTCTTCTACTTTTAATGGCCACGTTTCACAGCCGTAAAGCAGAACAAAACGAACTGCTGAGCAGTATACTCGTCCCTTATTTGATAGATAGCTATCTCGCCTTCGCCATAAGTGACGTAAGTTGGCAAAAGCCAAACCAGATTTTTGAATTGGTGCAGAGATTTCGTCCGACACCAACCCATTAGCGTTGATCAGACTTCCCAGATAAGTACTATTGATACAGCTATTTCTTATGACTGTAGAATCACTATTACCTACTATTTATTACAATGGAACAAGATCAGTATACTGACACAAGGAATGTAATAAGATTGATTATAAATGAAAACTGAATTTTTCACTAATCAGAAGCGGTTTCGTGGAGATTTTAGTAATTTTATATAGTTGAGATCATGAGTCAATGGAAGCTAGACCACCATGGAAAACCTGGAAGCACTAGACGGTCGTTTCGTCTTATTATAGGATTCCTCAGCAGTGCGCATCCACGATCCCGCACTCGCGAGATTTTAACCCAGAACCTACCAGTCTCGCCCCAGAGCACTTAGCCGATAGACCACTGAAATGGCCGGCATCCAACGGTGTTAATGTTTAACGTCAACCAATCCACGAAATTGAGAAATTGGCTGAAGTTAGACATTAACACCGTTGGACAACGGTCGGCTTACTGGTCTGTCAGTTAAGTGCTCTGGCGCGAGACTGGTAGGTTCTGGGTTAGAATCTCGCGAGTGCGGGATCGTGGATGCGCACTGCTGAGGAATCCTATAATAAGACGAAACGACCGTCTAGTGCTTCCAGGTTTTCCATGGTGGTCTAGCTTCAATTGAATAATGATCTCAACTCTATTCACTAATCATTAATTAATATGAAATCAAAAAACTAACAAATGTATTACGTAATCATATTAAATATTCAATCTATTTATAAATTTTAAATGTAATAAATAAATAGTAATTAACATTAATTAATTAAATTGATTATGAATACAACTTATTAATTTAATTATATATTTTTGTTTTTTTTTCAATATTCAATCAATAAATTATTGATATTGTATTGATTTTATGATCTGTTGATCTTTAATTCGATCTAATATATAAGATCATGATTAAAGAATAATGACTTAATTACTTTATTGAATCTTATTTAATTTAATGAAATATCATCATTAATAATAGTTTCTAAGTGAAATGATCAAGTTAATATCCATTGATGAATATTGATAATCAAGATAATCAATTAGAACAATCCAATTGTATCAAATGATTTATAGTTATTAGTAGTTATTTATTGTCAGAAAGGGTGTTTGTGGAGATTGTAGTAATTTAAGCTAAACCAACGTAGGAAATTTGAGAGCAACGGACTACCGTTTCGTCCTAGTAGGGGACTCCTTAGCAGTTCACATCTACGATCCTACATTTGGGACTCAAACCCAGGACTTATCGGTCTCGTGTACGAATGCTTAACCTCTAGACCAGTGGGCCGACTGGTATCCAAAGGTTTTAATGTTTAACTTCAATCGATCTATGATCTTGAACAGCTATTCATCCATTGTCTGAGATAAGTATCTATCTTTACCCGACATGGATAGGATTCCACTGATCATGGTTTCTCACCAGAACTCCAGGAAATCCATCTTGAAGCCAATCACGAGTAAGCACATATTGATTGTTATCAGAATATCGGTTTGCGGAGGTTGTGGTGGATGAGCAATACTGAGTAGTCCTATACTAGGACAAAACAGCCGTCTCGTGCTTCCAGGTTTTCAGTTATGGTTTAACTTAAATCGACTTATGAATTCAACTATTAGAGTCATGGGTTCGTAATCAAGAATGTCATAAAATGCTCCTTAAGTTATTAATATATAATTGAATTTACAACATTTACAGTTTAGATTGACTCATGAATTCAACTGTTGAAATGCTACAATCTCCATACTAATCTACAAATTAAACAAAATATTATTCATAAGCTTATAGTGCAGTTATAATGAAGTGCATATCTTTCGAATTATTATAAGGAGTGCATATCAAATCATTATTATGAATTAATTATCTAGGTTAGGTGTTAAAAAATGTCAAAACAACACTACCTAATTAATAATTGTTAATATGAAATGTGAATGGGTTGAAGTTAGATATTAACACCGTCGGATGCCGGTTCGGTGGTCTAGAAGTTAAGTGTTCGCGCGCTAGACCAATAAGTCCTGGGTTCGGATCCCGCGAGCGAGGTCGTTGGTGCGCACTGCTGAGGGGGCCTATACTACGACGAAACGGCCGTCCAGTGCTCTCAGGTTTTTCATGGTGCTCTAGCTTTAATTGACTCTTGAATTCAACTATTAAATTACTAAAATCTCCACATAAACCCCTTTCTGATAATATGAAGTGTGATACTTTCATCTTCAATAGATTCTGTAGATTATACCAACTGAAATGGTTTGTGTAATAAACAGTTGGATTAACACAATATACGTTTACATAATACAGGTGTGGTATATAGTTATGTAACCACTGGTAAACTAATGTCTTAATATCTGTTAGATATATTGTATTAAGATGAGGAGTTTTGATAATTTACGACATTCATCACTTGAATATAAATGATATCTAGTGTAGTATAGGATAACGCAAGATAAGACAACCGGTTATACTTGGCAAAATAGAAAAACCATACTCTTATACTTTATTTGCAACACGTTCATTGATTATCTTAAACATCATTGTTCCTGCATTTCCATATCAATTGTTTGCTGTCCCCATTCTTTCCTCCTCGATCTTCTCAGCCTTTTGTTGCCGGACATTCTATTTCAGACTAGCGTTATATACTACTTATGTCGACATAAGTAGCACACACCACAATAGTAGTTTATTTTGTATTGAACAAAGGTTATAATGGTAAGCAGAGATGGATAGTGGCTAGCAGTGGAATCCAGTTTGACGCGCGTTTCGTCCTATTTGGGACTCGTCAGCTGGATGTACCTGCATCTCAGATTTGTTGATGTTCACTCTGGGACTCGAACCCAGTACCCTCGCTTCAAACGCCATCGCGTTATCCACTCGGCCACTGAGTCCTGATAGCCACTTGCTTGTGCGATGGGGTGAAGTTTAAATTCATTCAGTATTGTTTGTTTGAATCTTCCCATCGATTTGTTAGGACTGCAACTGGTTAGTCTCTAACTGGCATATGTGCATACTGTGCGTATTGCCTCAATATAGCCTTAATTCACAAGCATGGTAATGAATGTAATAATGAATGTAAAATTATGATGATTTATTCAATTCAGACAACTGGATCGATCAAAAGCTTTTTTATCTTGAATAGTGACTTAAAACAAAGCTCAAACTGGTAGTTATCAAGATTCACTCATTGAAGCGATGATGAAATACGTAAATGGAATTTAATTTACAAATGATATTTCATTAATCAGACAATTTTAGTTCAGTTAAGTTGTTCCATATAATCAGCTGAACATTTTTAACTTAGAGAATGAAATCATAGAAGAATTTCACGACTAGATATTGTTCTCAGTATAGGGTTATGAACATTGTTGTATTTTCATTGAGATTGCGATCGGCTTTAAATTAAACAACCAATGGGAATGTAGAAGCACTGGATGGTAGTTTTGTTCTAGTGAAAGACTCCCCAGCAGTGCTCATTCACGACTTTATGACCGCGAATCGAACCCCGGATTATTCTACCCATATTATTTTGACTATATGTTGACGGGAGAAGGTAATAATTTAAAACTTTTTGCAATGTTTTCGTGGTATATTCTAATATTTCGAATACATCGTAACAAGAACTTCAGAAAGTCACGTCACAGGTAACTCTAAACTGTATCAACCTTTTGAGTGTTCTTATCAAAAGATTTGGGATTTATTTCTGCTGAATTTGATATATAAGATTGTTGTTTACTGTGTTTACTTACTGAATGCAGAAATTCATCAATAATCAATCAAACAATGTCGACATAAATCATTTATTGAATTCTAAAGAAGGAGAGGATAATGGTGATAACAATGATAGGTCAATTGATGATCATGAATTATTCAAAGTAAACAGTGAAAATGAAGAGGATATTGTGGATTTTACATTGACTGACAGTAATGAAGATCCAACCGTAAATGATACATCGGAATCATTAGAAAACGCAACTAATCAATTATCATTCATACCGATTATGTATCCTAACTGGACATCTGAACGCGGTGTACCAGAAAGAGGTTACATTACCTTAGCTGTACGAATTGAAGGTGATTTATCCAACATTAAAAAACATCCATTTCTATCTGTACATATATTTGATGCACGTTGTATTCTGAGTAGGAATGTAGAACCGAAAGCAGGGAAATTTTATGTGAAAGCACGTCTTCAATTAGCTGGTAAGTGATTTATGTCCCTTTCTCTTGATGAATACTTAATATGCCTAGAGAGTTTATGCAGGTTTACTATATAGAAAGTAGTCTATATGAGGTGAGACTACAGAATATAGGGTACAACATTGATAACTGTTGGGATGACCCTGCATTTTTCTCGTAACCGACATGACAAGCTCAGGGGTCATCAAGGGGCATTTCAACCAATCAGCGATTAATTAGAAGTTGTGTGAAGTTATGTTACTAAAATAACGAAAATAGAAAAGTCACATGTGGAGATCCTGAGTGGCTGATTTATACACTGCTACTATGTTTAGCAGTATTCTAGAACTTTCAGTAAAAACTCAAGGACTCTTAAATTACTATAAAATCCCTATATTTTCTGTACATAAATGAACCTTGCAGTAAAGTGTTTCTCTGATACTCGTGTCTTCTCTCTGGTGTTCAAGTAGCAGAGTAGTGCTATCCCTGGGGTTATTCGAATAGCTTAGGATCTGAATATAGCGTTCAACCTACAAGACATATCAATAACCAATTATTAAAAATAAACATACTTTATTCATGTTTTTATACAATGACAATAAAAGTCCCCCAATTAAACCAATTAACCAGGATAGAAAATACCACACTATGATAATCACAGACGAGTTTCTTGTGATGGAACTTTGAAAAGATGGGAAACATACTCCTAATTAGTAATCAGTCTATGCATGTCATACGCACTGTTGAATGTGTTTAATCCCAAGGGCTGAAGTATAAACATGACTCAGGGTTGGCCTATATTGATCTATCTTAATTTTTTCTGTGGCCCTTAGAAATCAAATAGATACCAGTTTCATATAGTTAAGATAATGAGTCAATTGAGGCTAGACCACCATGGAAAGCCTGGAGGCACTGAACGGCCGTTCCGTCCCATTGTGGGACTCCTCAGCAGTGCGCATCCACGATCCCGCCTCGCGGATTCAAACCCAGGATCTACCAGTCTCGCACCAGAGCACTTAGCCGATAGACCACTAAGCCGACATTCGGCGGTGTTAATGTGTGACTTCAGCCAATTCACTAAATTGCACGACCAACTTCCATTGTACTGTAGTAGATTTTTGTCTCTACCTGGCATGGATTAGCTCCACTGGCCACGACTTCTCAATAGGAGTGGTTGAGGTTAACACCGCTGAATGCTGGCTCAGAGGTGTATTGGTTAAGTGCTCTGGCGCGAGACTGGTAGGTCCTTGGTTCGAATCCCACTGGGCGAAATCGTGGATGCGCACTTTTGAGGGGTCCCACAATAAGAAGAAACGGCCGTCCAATGCTTCCAGGTTTACCACGGTGGTCTAGCTTCAATTTACTCATGATTTTAACTATATAAAATTATTAAAATCTCCACAAAACCCCCTTCAGGTAGATACCAGTTTACTTATTTTTTTGTTAAATTTGCTACTGAATGACATACTTATAAATATACACTATTTGCTGAGAAAAAAACAGTCAATATAAAATTGCCCATGGAATTCATGCTTACTTAATGTATTTTTCAGGTATAAACAATTCTGTATCCATGTTATCCTTGGATCGAATATCCACAAAATCATTGAAAATGTTTTCTAATAAAATGGATATATTTACAACGAATCGAAGTTCTTCTGCAGTGCATAGTGGTCGTACACCTGTGAAACGTGCTTATCGTTCACCAGTGTTTCGGCATAAAATTGTCTTACCTCTACCATTGAATATAATTGATGCAATAAATAAACGATCAACATCACTTTTTGAATCCATGGAGTCAATTTCACCAATAGACTTAGAAGATGGTACAATACAAAATTATGAGCTTAAAATAGATTTGAAAGAACGTAATGCATGTAAAACAAATGATTTACATGGAACTTCTACCGTTCAATATTTACCATATTGGAGTTCTTCACAACTAATTGGTAGTGTACGTATTCCTATAACATCTAAAATGTGGCAATATCTAATGGAAGATGTAAATAAATTACGTCGTTCTACAGTTGTGAACTTATCAACCTTTCAAGATATGAAAACAAAAGAGAAATCATTAGAATTATTACCAAATAAATTGTTATGGTTTGTTAGGTGTCTGAAAGTTCCTGATGAAGTAAGAGCAGATTTATGATATCATGTTCTTTAGTATAGTTGTATAAATAGTATCGACTTTTTTCAGTCAAGTACCAATTTATTGATAAAATTAATTAATCTTCTGTCTACTTTATAATTCATTGTTTGAGAGTGAGTACTACCTGTTCCTTGTGTAGTCATAGTCTAATTTTTAAAACCTTTCAATAGACATGCCATTCTTTATACATTGACATTTAATCTACTAATCGATATTTTTAAGCACCATTTCGAATGTTTCCGATTCGATTAATAAAATAGTAGCAATCTCGAGTTTCTAATTCATTTTATCATTGACAGGAAACTCTTCTAGTTAAATTCATTTAGTATTGTTTGTTTGAATCTTCCCATTGATGTGTTAGGATTGCAACTGGTCAGTCTCTAATTGGCATATGTTCATACTGTGCGTATTGCCTCAGTATAACCTTAACTCACAAGCATTATAAGCAAAGATGGATGGTGGCTAGCAGTAGAATCCAGGACACGCGTTTTGTCCATCTGACGAGTCGCAAAAAAAGTTATACCCGGTCTATTAATTACAGTCTCCCATATTCACAGCCACTTTTGGTTAGATCTTGTGAGAATGTTGTTTTCTATTTTATGTGATATGGACTGTTTAGTTTGTATATAAATACATTATTCATATCGCGGAAGCTAAGATTTGTGTTCTGGACTCAACAGGCAGGGCTAGTCAGAAAGAAGGACCGAAAAGAACTCGAGACTACTTGTATGTGTTTATTCGTCATTAGTACAGTCGATAAGTCACTGTTTTCTTATTGGCAGTATCATTATGTTATATAGTAATAGCGCACAAGACTACAAGTTATGACAATTGAAAATGATAAACATCCACAAGATCATGATTCCATATAAGTGATTACATCATATCTCATTACATATATCTATTCTTTGAAGATATTCCTTCTTATTTTTATTTAATTTTTTTTAAATTCATAGAATGCCAATTCACGAGGAGAGATTACTTTTGGTATGCAGTATAATCAAGAGAATGGTAGTCTAACTATTAGCCTATTTAATTGTGCTTCAATGAATTTGCCTAAACGAACAAGTAAGAAGTAGAAGCATATCTGTTGTGTTTTTTTTTGAAGTTTGACTGTGTAAATATAAGTTGGATTAAATTACAATTTAGTAAATCTGTGTGGTAGTTGTAACCTAATTTAACTGTACAACAATGAAATTTATATTAAAGGAAGGAAGTGATGAAGGATGGTCTGAAAATTTCGTGTAAATATTCAATTAGCTCAAGTATGCACCTAACAGTTTTCATTGTCCCACACTATAAATAATTAGGTTTCACGGTGTAATGACATTTAATTATTGACCAAATGTGGTAGTTTGTATTCCAGACACCTTTTTAACCTCTGATTATTAGTACTTTGAGGTAGTCGGAAAGAAAACCTAGACCTAGGTTTTGTGTCAGAAAGTCATAGGTCATACCGGAGGTCAATGATGAACTGAATAGCTCAATAATGACGTTTCAGAATGTAATGTTGAAAATCCTTTATGTCTGTGGGTACACCTTTCTGACGACTACCTACTAGCACGAAACTTAAATCTGAAGTTTCCTACCAGCTACCTCCAACTATGTAACATCTTAACATAGTGTACGCGAGATCGAGTTACTTAAAACAATACTGCAAATCAATGTATAAGATTTGGTCAGAGCTAAGTACTATGCCTATATATATATTTATATATATATATGTATATATATATATATATATATATATATATATATATACTCCTAACATTTTATGTGTTCACTGTTTAGTGCAGTGAGATATTATTCACCCGACTGGCGTTTTTTGATTCTATGCTGTTTGAGGTGTATTAGATTGAAGAGAATATGAGTTCCAACCAAACGTTTTCAGATCACTACCTTGTTAGTTTAATGGTTGACTAGCTTGCGTCAGATTCTTGAAATTAACTTTGAATATCGATTTTAATTTTAAGGGAAAATTTTCTTTTAACAGTATTTCATGGTTTTTAACGTATTACCGTTAAAAAATCATTTTCAGTTTCACCAAAAATGTGCTCGTCCAGGGTTAACAGACGTTTAGATGAATGAATGAAATGCTAATCGATAGATGATCTCAATAATACTATATGGCTGAGTAATAAATGGTTTTGAGATCGGATTATTGACTTGAAACCCCTCAAATGAACTGATTTCATAGATAAGATCACAAAGCAGAAGAATATGTTTTATCATTTCACTAAAGAACAAGCTTGTTTATAAACAAACATGGTTAGATAACCTAGGTGATTAGAGGAAATCAGTTTTTGTAGGTCACTTACTCTTCGATGATTTAAGACTGAATTTTTCAGCCCAATTTTTTTTTACACTGTATAAAAGCCACATAGTAAACATTTTATTATTACTATGCAGTGAAACGTATGAAAGGTTGGGTTCATTTGTTCAATACGTATGTAGCTATTACAAATACCGATAGACTGAAATGGCTGTTTTAGTTAATATGCTTAATTACAGTATGATTCTTTTGAAGCTTGTATCATTAAGACTGTGATATTGTCTGAAAATCATGTGATTCATATCAGAATTTTAGGAAAGTTATAATTTATCAATCAAATACACATAAAGAATATTAGTTCAGTGAAATCAGTCCTCTTGAGTCAGTTGGTTTATGTCGTTTAGTGGCGATTTCGGTAGTTTCATTGTAGATAGGAATGGTTTTTGTCAAGTGGTCGAAGCATTCCAATATTATTGGTAAAGTAGACTACTAATTGCTGCCGAACTAGAAGTCTCACATTATAGACTGGTTTTTAACTAAACAACCGTTAAGAACCAGAAATCACTGGACAGTTGTTTCGTTCTAGTTTGATACTCCTTAGAAATCAGCATCCATAACCCGACCACGGATCAAATCCATGACCTTCAGGCCTTGCACTTAAAGTCTAACCTTTGAACCATTGAGATGCCATAAATTGGTTTACATTCCTAACATCATCCATTTTTGCAATACTGGATGAAATGCAAACTACTCCATACTAACTCACTGGTCAAACTGTTAAAATCTCACCTTGAGACCTGAACGTCCTGAGTTCAGTTGTACCCATACCTAGTTGTATTGTAATATCTTGATTATTTTGTTTGCATCCATGTTTTATGAACGTTCTTTCCTTAGAGAATTTATTTGTTCGTGCTTCATTGTGTTCAAATTGGAAATTATTTCGAACTGTTCAATCTAGACCAACTGCTCGACTTTCAGTGAATTCAGCAGAGTTTATATTGGGTGAGAAATTAAATTTCATCATTGAAGAAGATATTAGTAGTATATGTATAATACTGAGTGTGTTCGCACGATCTGGAAGTAAACTACAAGAAGCTACTACACTTATTGGTCGTTGTGTAACTGGACCATCAGATTTAGCATGCGGTGATGGACTTTCACATTGGACATCAATCTGTTCTAGACAAGGGATGATAAGACGTACTCATATTCTCTCATAATTAATTACAGTATCTATGTGAAATAGTGAATCTTTCATTTATATCAGCTGAACTGTTCAATGCTTAATGTGCATTTTCTTCTTATAATATAAATGACTGAAATATTTTCTTTACTTGATGACTAAGTATGTTTAACACTGAAATGTTGTCTGTTATTAATAAAATTATGGAATATTTTGTTGTATACGTAAATATTTTCTAGATATTATGGTTTTTTCAATAGTGAGTCTAGTTTATTCTTTCTTCTGATTGTAGTGCCGTGCTTCGCTAATCGTTCACCCTGATAACCGTTATAATACTAGTCTTAACGGTGTCAAAAATCAGAAGGCAAAGAGAAGCCTCAACTACATATTTATTGACAAATAACGTAGGTCAGATAGCTGTGAGCACATGAGCAGATGTTAGCTAGTGAAACATACATGACACGTATTGGAGATGGCGGGGAAGCCAACTCGCCATAAGCAAGCATTAATCAATATTTATAGTCAGACAAAAATGAATGACACATATGGTAAATAGGATAAGAAGGGTACACACAACTACGCTCATACAAAAATGGTCAGGATTAGTAAGTGAATAACTGACAAGATGAAAACATGACTCATAATGGACAGGCGAATTGGCTTGGCCAGAAGCTAGAATAAAGTATATGGGCTTAACATATAAACTGATACTACATGATATATACTACTGTTTTCAAATAAGAAATAATGTAGTGATCTAGAACATATCTAGTATTAAAACTGTGTAGCTCATGACAATGATTTCAGTGCTGTATTATTCTCTTGGTTGAATGTTTTACGTCAAATTGACTCTCATTGACAATAGAAACAGTTCATTTAGGATAAGCTTCATGTAGATATAAAGAATGTAATTGGAATCATGAACCGATCAATAATAAACCACCAATGAAAGCCTAGAAGCACTGGACTCCTGTTTCGTCTTAATATGCAGCTTCTCAGTTGTATGTACACACAATTCTGCAGGCATGAACCTAAACCTGAACCTTCAGTCTCATGCGCTAACTAATGACCAGTTTAGAGGAAAAGTGAAAAGTCGTGGAACTAAGTCGGGTTGGGTAAGATACAGTCACTCACTCAATAAAATGGAAGGTGATTGCACAATATATCATTGATTGACTGCGGTTAGACATTGACACCGTTGACTGCTAGTTCAGAGATCTATAGATTAAGCATTTGTGAGTAAGATCGAAGGTCCTGGATTTGATTCCAACTTTCAGGATAGAAGGTACGCACTGCTGAGGAGTCCCATACTAGGACGAAACTGCCGTCATTGCTTCCAAGTTTTTAGTGGTGGTCCAACACTGATCGATTTATGGTTTCAAAGCATTGTAGTTTTCAGTTTAATCAGTGGTAAAAATCAATCATTGCAAGCCCTTGGTAGTTAATGTCGTGATATCGTATTTGTGGATATTTTGAGCGTGTCTGTTCTATTATTTTCAATAAACGTACATGGGAAGCATGCTGGCAAATACTTTGTCGATCACGCATGTAGGTCATAGGAAAATATGTGAAGTGGTGGTTGAAGGTAATAGACGGAAAACCCTGGACCTGGATTTCATGCTGTTTGGCGCTCTTCAGCAAGTTGTACCAGTAGTCTTGAAGGAAATGATGGTCTCTGGTGAATTTAGTCACATGTCATGCAGTTTCACAGTTATAGGCATTACCACTGATTAGCATGAAACAAATTAATCAAAATTAAACTTACAAATAACTGAGCGGTAATAAGTAGATTGTAACATAGTCAAGGGCAGTTTCTATTATAAATTAGTTCAGTTAATTAATCATCAGGCGATAAATTTCGAATTTTCAGTGGTTGGTATTGTGTCAAGCCCACAAAGGCTTTTCTCACTTCTGGACATACTAATTTATTCATTCTCTCCAAGCCATGTTTTAACCTTGTCACTTATTCGCTTATTGAACCTGACTGTTTTTATATGATCCTATGTGTGCCAATTACTTATCCTGTTCATTATGTGTCTCTAACTTAATTTGGTTTGACCACAAATATCAAATTACGCTTGATTAAGACGAGTTGGCTCACTTGCCTTCAGTGCGCATCACTTTATTTCGCTTCGCCCTCTCCTCTTTGTTTTATTTGTTTCGTTTCTCTGATTCACTGTTCAGTTCAGCGATTGCATGAGATATATGTATTCAAAATCTATTCTGGTGTTTGTAAGTATCATTACCAGGTCTTGATTTGATCATTTTGAATAAATTGAGCATTGAGTAGATTGTTATAAATAAAAATAATGTATTTGTAATATCCCAGTGAGTAGAAAAATATGATTTTCTGACGTTTCGTAATCCAAGTTTTGGGTTAATTTTAATTTGGTTATTTATTCTCTGAAGAAGTGGCTTACACTGAGTCACGAAACGTCAGAAAATCATATTTTTCTACTCACTGGGATATTACAAATATACTAATTTATTTATATACTCGTGTTTGACTTATTTTAATTCCTTTATTTATTACCGTAAGTTAAGTCGATAATAATAATAATAATATACGAGGGTTGGCGGCATTTATATTTAATGGATTTATAAATGAGATACTACTCATGTAGGTAGTTAAATAGATAAAACCAGTGAAGTTGTACAACGGAATATTAATACAGATACACAAACTATTTAGTAAATTGGTTTGTGAGATAGAACTGTTAAAAGCTTTGACAGTCTTTAAAACTACACAAAAATGGCACCCCTTACAAATTATGACTAGTGAACATATATATAGGCATAAATCGGAGTTTTGCTCCATAGTTATGTGTTACAACTTTGATGGTGTTTCCAATAATTCACATGTAATTAACAGTGCTAAAATAAAAGTAACAATTTGGTCATAATTACGTCCCTTATTGTTTGAACAACCTTGAGCAGCTAAAGTGATGTTGAGCATTGTTCTTTTGGACAACACGAGATAGATCTTGAGCTGTCCTGTTTTCTTGGCATACGTGAATATTAACTCACTGGATATTTTAAACGTTTCTTACTGGTGGACTAATTTTATTATGATTTAGTGTTTTATACGTTGTAGCTTAACAAAACTTCCGCGTTACATTTTGGTGTCATTTATTTGTGGCTAGTCACATCAGTAAAGATTTATCTTTTAGGCGTTCTGATAACCTTGATTGTTCTATTTTCAACGTGGTTTTACTACAGCTGAGGGAAACAAAACGAGGGTGAATGAACCCACTACAGGATAAACTTAATGTACGAGGATCACAATTGCAGAACGTTCCGATTGCGATGCCATTTATGTCAGAATATCTTGACTACCCATTTGAGAAGACGGAAGTTTATAAGTAAGCATTGTGCTTATTAATAGCTTTCTAATCATGTGTTAGACATTTACTTCAACATTTCAAAAGATGGAAATGGATCAAGTTGTTTATGACAGATTTTTCTTTAAGTCATTTGGGGTTTCACCATGTATATTCCCAGCACTCCATCTTAGAATCTAGTTACTAGTATACTAAGTTACTTCATGAAAAAAGAAAGCTGTCTATCCTGATTGTATTACGAAAACCCAGTTCTGATCCGTTTAGTTAAATTTAAACTTGTTCAGATATCTCCTAACAATACGCTTTCATGAGCCTATCACTATGTAAAACTTCATGCTAATCTTCTAAACACAAAGACATTGTCAGCTCATAAGGTACAATAGATGTCTTCATTAGTGCCTTCCCTTGGAATTATAATTGATGGAATTTTCTCAGAAGGAAATTACAAGCTATGTAATAGAAGGAATATTATGAAAATCACTCGAAAGTGCTTTACTAAACAATACTATTGTCTTCTATCCTTTTAACTCGTCTTGCACTCCAACTTTTACTCAGAACTCTTGCAACCATCTTTAATAATTCTCAATGTTCTTTGGTTAGGCCCTTATTACCTGGCTCTAGTCAAGATCTACTTTCATCATTCAGTTTTGCTTCTGCTTGTCACTGAACCGTTGAGAATAATGTCACGTTTGACCAAATTCAAGGTCACAGCGAGGTTGGGACAATGGTTGCTGACTTTTGATTGCCTGGAGTATGGTAAATGAGTAAAGTTAGACGTCTTTGAGTGCATATAGCGTGTTATCGAGTAACATTGAAGTTGTCATTTCTCAAATGTAAATAGGATTCTCACCATTTGCACGTTAACTCTCGTATCATTTACGCTTGTTGTATACCGTCCGTCATAATTAGTCAGTCAGTCTGACTACTAGTAGTTGTTGTTCACTCTCTGAGAAAATGTTATAGCAACTTTAGTCTGATTGTTCGTATCAATAGAAACTCAGAATATTTTATTTGGTATTTTGTACTAACTGATGGTTTGTCTGTACTTGATTGCACGCTTATTACGAATTCCAAACATAATACGTCTAGCTAAGTTCATCTAATTGTACGTGCCTTATATTCCACTACCTCGTAAATTCCAAGTTAGCAAGTCAATTCTAATGCTTCTCATTATCAGGCCAACAATGAATTATTGCTATACTTTTCGTGAAAATAGGCTCCGAAGAATTTCCATATATGGTTTATCACCCTAAAGCCTCTTGGTGGACATCGATGTCTAACGGTAATTTAGTACATTCAGGTTGGTGCGATTCTGTGTTGTTATTTTTAAACATTAAATTAGTTTATAGTGTTATAATAATTAGAAGTATTCGAATTATTGTACTAACCAGGAATTCCCGAAACAGTGCAATTTAAACCAAATAGAACTAGGTGAGCACGAACGAATGTTTTATATTTAGGATTCGAAATCAGTCAGGAATCAAGTACGAATCAATTATTATTTCATAGAAACACCACAAATGTGCAACTGTAAAAAGACCTAGTCACGATTAGTATCCTCATTTCCATATATATATATATAAAAATCAGTCCGTGCTCATATATAGAAGGTCATTTGAATCTTTCATATAAGTATTTCGTCATTTTTCGTTTGGAATAACTCTAGTGATTCCCGGACACCGAAACTTATTTATTGATCATTTATTTTACTGTTAAGTATACTATACAACCTTTGGTTGTATAGCGCAAGCTGTACCGTTTTAGTTATTTTATACTTTTGGTATGATTAGTTTTCCTTGGTAAATTAGAAACAATTAAATTATGCACATACTTTTTGCTCGATATAATTTAATCCTAGTAACTCAAAAAGGCTTTACACGCCATACAAAAGAACGTAGTTTGGTCTAATTGAAAAAACTTTG